TTTAAACAATATTGTTTTTTTACATAATTATCATGTTTTTCAACATATTTCTATCTTTTCAACTCTTCAACTCTTCAATTTCTTGAAAAAAATTTTTATTGAAAAATTAATTACTTGTGCATCGCAACTTTTAGTTTGTTGTCATTATTATAAAAATTTTTAAGTGTTACATGCTCCACACAAGATTTTCTCATTTTAATAGTTTAAATTATAATTTGATATCAGGAGAGAGCCCGCGCTGTATGGCAAATGTGATAAGTTACTTTTCTGATGGTGGATCAATGTTGGAGTGCATAACTGAATTTTCTAACTAGTTTCTATAAATTCTCAATCAAAAGCTTTTTTTCAAAAAATTGAAAATTTATGTTGAAAAATATAGTAACTTTGTAAAGTTGTATACTGTTGTTCAAATTTTTATAATACTTATTTTTTAATAAGGACTGCGGAAATTTGTTGAGTCTTTATTGCACAATAAGTGCAACATTGATAACTAACGTAACTTATACTAAATATGCTTATTATATTATTTTTTTGCAATTACTAAGGATGATTCATCTATCACACCTGGAACATCTCATCCAATGGGAGAAAGGGGCAATGTCTTAAATCGTGTGGGACATCAGCAAGACAAGTGGAAACGACAAGTGCGCGAACAAAGGCGAAATATTTATGATCGGCACACTATGTTGAATTAAATCCCGCATTTTGTTTTTGGAAAATATGTGAAGCAAAGCTGTGCGAGAAATAAACAGCGCTAACGAACGGAAATTTTGGTATTCTGTTTGGTAAAAAGAGAATGCGTAACTACGAGAGAAAGTCAAAAAGTAAAAGGGCATTTTCAATTTCATTGATTTAGGAATCAAAAAAGTTTCTTTATTTTTTTTACTTTCTTTAGTAGTTAGAAAGAAAGAGAAAATTCGCTCCCAACTGTCACTGACGAGCGAGTGAAATCAGAATTGCTTGAATTCAATTAGTTGCACGATTCTGATGTAAAGTTAAAACAGATGAAACTTTAGTAAATATTTATGTCGACTATTCATTTAATGTTTTGAAACGGTTCTTTTACCTAAATAGTTTATATTGGTAAGAGCGTAATGCAGTAATAAAGTGATATTAAAAGTTAGCAAATTTGCAATTATTTACAATCGTGTAATATTTTAGCAGATGATGTACACTGCTACATTAATATTAAAGATTATATATTAAGATGTACGAAAGCTTATAATTTATTCTGATATCTTATTATATGATAATATGGATAATAATATATCCTATTATATGATATCTCTCTCCTCTGCTAGGAAGTTTATCGATAAGAAAAATTAGCATGTCTATTTTTTCGACTGCTTAAACATGCAGACATTTAAGAAAAATTGTCTGTCGTGCAAATAAAATTGGAACCACGATTTTTGTACATTTTTAATAACACTATATGTGATTATTTTAACATAAAAATATTTTTTTTGTGTTATCTATCAAAGGAAGGCAAAATAACAAAATTTATTATGGTTTTAAATTATTTGCTTTTTTATTTAGGAAATACATTACTCGAAACAATTTGAGAATTACTTCCTAATGATCTGAAAATCATTACAATTATGGTCATAAATTGTGAATAAATGAGATAAGCAGTAAGACACACAAGAAATATAAATATTCGTAATATTTATACGTGCTTTCAACAAAATTGCATATAAGATATTTAGTTGTTTGAAACTTTATATTATCGTCGTATAAATGTAATTGAATGATCATTCAAGAGTGATTTATATTAATGATTAGGTCACAGTGTTTTTTTTCCATGACTTATACATATAAATATGGGATAAAATATATCATTGTCTCTTTATCTTGTAGATACAGAAAATATAGCGCACACGTTTGCATGAGGTCACATATACATTTATCTGAAGGACTAGAAAAGATTTCTCTTCATATTGAACGATATTAAATGACGTTAAGAAACACTATAATATTTTGCACGGTATTTTTCTTTAAACAGTTATTTGATAATATCTAAAAGGTACATACATATATAATATAGAATATTTGAGGGAATATGGCAATTCGGCACATTTTGGCATAGAATAATAAGTGGACCATACTAATTATTACAATTGGTCCTTAAGAGATTCGACAAAATGTTTGAATTTTTTTAATTAACAGATGCGATTACATGAATAAAATATATTAGTAAAATGTTAATAAAAGAAGAAAACAATTGATTGGCATATAAAAATAATATCAACAAGGTACAGTTATACACACACTTTCACTGCCTGTACAAGTAAAACCTATTGGAATGAGTAGGAATAAAGAAATTCCTTATGCGAACATGATTCTCTGTAGTTTCTAAAATTGGAAGCAATGTATGATTAATTCTGGATCATTATTCAGGATTGCATACATATATTCAGATAAAATTCAGATAAAAAATTTGCTAAAAAATGGCAGTAAAAGTGTTAAATTTTCTTCGTAATATGAGAATTTCAATATTAAATTATATACTTAATATACATTACAGAACAAGATAGTTAAAATAAATGTATCAAAAAGATCGGATATATATATCAAAACATTCGTTAAATATTTTTTTATAAATGTATATTGAAGAATAAGATATGACCTGGGAATCATTCAAAGTATCCTTTACATCGCACATTTATGCAGCGTGAACCGACTGGAAAAAGAAAGAAATTTTGTCAATGATAAGATTACCTAGATTTTATTTTTATAACGCGACAATCGCAAGTTTCATGAATACCTTTGCAATGTCCACGCCTGTCAAACTCTTAACAAGTTCTGGAACACGTTGTACAATACTAAAAACTTCTTCGGTCAATTTGTCTGCACCAATGGTGCCATTACCGCTCGAAACCATAGTTATCTTTTTGGCTTGGGAAAGAGGAGCAGCTACTTCGGCAGCAACCTGTAAGGTAAATTGAAACTTTTTACCAGAATTTTTGCTAACACTGACAACAGAGCAGTGTTGTTTAAATGTTATTAAAATTTTTTAACATTGTGAGCATAATAGATTAAGAATTAATATACCTTTGGAAGTGTATCAAGCATCATATCTATCATGGCTGCACTCTTGTATTCGTTCCACGCTGCAGCCTTCTTTGCCATTTGTTCCGCTTCCGCTTTAGCTTTCGCCTCAATAGCAAAGGCTTCTGCTTCGCCGCGAATTTTGATTGCTTCAGATTCAGCTTCGGCTTCCATGACGAGGCGTAATTTGTTTGCTTCAGCCATTTTTTCTAGCCTGCAAACCCCAATTTTAGTTTTAACACGACAAAAAACTTGACTTAAAGGCACACATGTAACCGAATGTACCTATATTTTTCTGCATCAGCAGGACGCCGTACAGTAGCATCTAATTCTCTTTCGCGTCTTAGCATTTCCTGCTCCTGCACAGCAATCTCCTGACTACGTTCTACGACTTTTACTTGCATTTGTTCCTCCATAATCCTCTGTTTAGTTTTTGCTGCTTGTAGTTCAAAAGCCATTTCCGCTTCAGCTTTCTGCAAGTGAAATCTTGGTATAAAAAGCTATCTAAAAGATGCATTAAAAAAGTAAAAGTAAAAGTTTTCTTACTTTGGTCTGAACTTCAACATCGTAAGCAGCCTTTTTCAATTCGAAATCACGTTGTGCTTTTGCTATCTCCGTATCATTCAGAAAACGTGCAGCCATTCTTTGTTCCTCGGCGATAGCTTCTCTAATTTGAGCATCTCTGCGAGCTTCCGCCTCACCTATTCTAGCATCTCTTTTAACCTCTGCCGTACGTGCCATACCGAGTGCTTGCAAGTAACCCTATAAATAATATATTGTTACAAAATTATTTTGCAACACACGATTTATGATAACAATACAATGGAACGAGGCAATGGAACAATGATATCAGCATTTGAGTAAGCAATACCTGTGATGTAAATGCAACATATAATATCAGTGATATAAAGGCAACATATAATATCGCTGCTTTTTACTTAAATATTGAGTTATTTTTAAATAGCAAAATTGAGACTTTTCAATACAAGGTATACAATACAGATGATTCCAATACAAAAAAGTAGCCCTTAAATAATGCAATATTGATACAATGAGACATTCTTAAAAACTACATTTTCATGAAAGAAATAAAACTTAAATGTGTCAAATCTCACTGTTTAAAAATATCTCAATGTTCAGTTAAAGCAGTGGTTACAATTTGTATTTGATAAACAAAGTATTGCGAGTGTGCACAGTTGTGCTATCGTTAGAAAAAGCATTGAAAATATGCTGTGATATTCTGTTTTTTTAGAACCTGAAGAATTTGCAATAATATTAGAAGACAATGTTAGCGGTGTACTGAAACATCAGGTATAAGAGTGACGAAATAAAATTGGAACGTACCTTTGCCCCCTGCAAGTAGCAAAACAAAAAGATATTCAATATTTACAATATACAAGATCTAACTATATTAAAATTATTAAAAAGTTTTATATTTTCTATTCATATTAATTACTGGTAAACATTACATAATTACTAAAGGGGGTCTTTTCAAGTATCTCTGTACTATGTGTACTTTAATAATGCATTTACAATTTGCTGATGTATACACAATGCGCTAAGTTTGTTCAAGTTCTCAATATCACCTTTTTTACTTTTGATACCTACGTACTTGAGTGCTAAACTGTTGTGTAATTTAAATTCGTGTGTGGTATCTATATTTTAATAATTTGTATAAATAAAATTAAGAAAACAATAAACTTACTTCCTCGTCTCGAATATCTTTTAATGTGTATGACACAACAGTAATGCCCATATTGACCAGATCACTACTCGCAACTTCAAAAACTTCCTTACTGAACTTTTTACGATCTTTGTAAATTTCCTGCAATAAAATAAAGTCTCGCATGCATATAATTATATTTTTAATAGCTAGTGATTTAAAAGCTTCTTTTTTTTGCTTCTCTGATATCATATAGTGTTTAACTCACTTCTACAGTCATACTGCCCATTATAGCCCGTTGATGTCCTTCTAAAGTAACAAGAGCTATGTTATGTATCTCGTCCTCAGATTTTCCAAGAAACTGTTCACATGCTGTAGATAGCATTTCTTCATTTTGTCCTTGAATTTTTACCTAATGCGGGTATAATATTTTGTAATATATAATATATATATCTTGGCTATATTATGTTGGCAAAAACTTTTCACAATACCTTTGTTTAAAAATTTTGTAATAAGTAATAAATTTATAGTATTGTCAAAAGGTTTTTAATCTACTTGTAGATAGTGTAATATATATTATAGACATTGATGTTAAATGCACAAATAATAAAAAATAAGTTTTCAACTACCTGTGCTATGCCTGTTACAGATATTGGTACTCCTTGACAGGTATATACTGTTGGACTTTCAACTTGTAGAGTCATTGTATTTAGAGAGATTCTACAAAGATAATACACATAGAGCAAGAACTTATATCAATTTACTGATATATATGCTAACAGCACTTGTACACTTACTTTTGTACTTGTTGCACAAGAGGCCAAACAAACACCCGTCCTCCTGGTACCAACAAAGGTTTGCTGTAGCAACATCCTTTAAGCAAAAGTTAATGCAAAATAGCAATGAAAAATTACAAGAAATTAAAAAAAAAAATTACAGTTTACTCAAATAAAATAAAATTAATATTAATAAAAAGCACTACACAATTAAACGTTGCTAAAATACTGAATTGTATATTTTACCTAATTATAATTGTACCTAATGAAACAAAATTCAGTCATTTGTACGATTAATAACGTGCTCCTAGTATTCTAACATGAGGAAAATATAGGTGCGGTTGTCTAATCGATTCCGCGTTCCTTTACGTTTCCCTACCCTTAAGTCATTAATGCCATCATCTTGAAAACAAGAATGCTTCGAAAATAGTTTTATGAATAGTTAAATTAATATGCAAAAGAAATTTAAAAAATAAAAATTCCGCGTTAGCCGTTCAATTTACCTGAAACGACAAGAGCCTCATTCGGGCCACACGTAACAAATCCACAACTCATGATTACACGTTAACGTAAGAACGACGGCAAATTCACGTGCAATTGCATATAATGCGTCACTCTTGTAGTCAATTGACGTCAATGTCGCGCACGTAATCAATAATGCTTTAACGCTTAAAATTGCACCCAATTTTGACAATTCTAAGCGAGCGCATCATGTCTAGATATTCGTACATCATGACTCAGAAGTGTATTTAACTTCAAGCGTTTGACATATGTGAAAGATTAAATATAAAATTAAAATGTAAATAATAATTAATACAATAACTAAATTAGTCAATAAAAATTATAATAGCATGTTATGATATGATCGAGAGTCTTTTTGACCGCTGAGATTGGTAGAACTTTATCAAGAGTCTTTGGATCGTTGGAGTTGGCAGGATTTGATTAGATATATTTTTTTTATCTTTACTGTGTTCGGTAAGTCCGGTGTGGTTTATGTTTAATATTTTTATTCTCGTTCATGGTATTATTATTTTTGTAGTGTATAATAATAAAAAACATATTTTTTTACATATTTTCAATAATATTTGTCAATTTATAAGATTCATTACTGTACAATAATCGAATAATTTTTTATGTAGTGATGAGGTTAGTTTAGTGTTAATCTTCAATGCACGTGGTATTGTAAGTCGACAGTATGTGTAGTAAAATATTGTTTTAAACTTATATATCTCTTACATATACATTTTAAAGCATTTAAAGTTACATTTTATGTGCGCGTATGTTTATTTAATATATATTCACACAACAAGTGGTTTGTTTAAACCTTGTCAAAATACGATAATTCGTTTTTAATCAGATCGAATATAGGCTACAGTTACTAAACTGTGTGTACAATTGGAACACATTGTGACTCGCGATGAAAAAAGCATTACATTATTTATAAACATTGGTCAAACTAAAATTTTTATTCTTAAATTTTGCAGGGAAATGTAAAGAATTTGTTTTCAAAAATGACTGACTCTAAGACTAGAAAGCATAAGGTTTCCAAAAAGACAAAGAAATCATGGAGGAAATATGTGGATATCAAAGATGTAGATGCTTTTCTGGAGGACAAGAGATTAGAAGAGCGATTAGGTGTTTTCTCAGAATACTCAAATTCTCAGCTGTTTATTGTAGATAACACTGCTAATACAATCGAGAGTGGCACAACTTCTAAACATGCAACTAGATTGGCCTTAAAAACTAAAGAACTAAAATGCTTTGCATCTTTAAAACCACATACACTAGTTCCTGATCCAATTTCTGTAAGAAATCGAGTGAAAACTAAGGAGGAACGTGTAAACTTTATATTACGGCAATGTAGAGCGGAGAGAAAAAATGTTCTTAAATTGAAAGAAAAAGAAGCATTGAAGAATAAAGTGCTTGCAAAGACTGCTGCAGCAAATTGTCCTGAGAAAGGAGAGATTAAAAGCGATATATGGGACAGTACAACTGACTTATTACCAAAACCAATTACTAATTGGATGTCTGCAGATGGCATTCGACATACAATCAAACATTTAGGAGTACAAAAAAGAAAATTACCTTCATCGTTGCTTAAAAAGTCATCCGTTTTACCTGCAGTGGAGAATCCACATCCAGGTACATCTTATAATCCATCATATTCTGATCATCAAAAGTTATTACATGAAGCTGCTGAAAAAGAAGTAGAATTTATAAAGCAACAACAGCATTTGGACAGGGTCACAACTAGAATGTTCAAAAAGGCAAGTCATTAAATATTATTGAGTAATTATTATATATCTCCTAGATTATTTTAGTATAAATTTTAGCTTTATCTGCATTCAGTATTTCTATTGTTTAATCATTTTGTAATAAATAATATTTATATATCGTTAATTTTATCCTTACTAATTTCTAAATTAAAAATTAATTGTGCATTTTCAGATTCCAGTAAATAAACGAGAGGAATATCTGATAAAAGAAATGTCAGAAGGTTTACCAACAAAGAATCAATTTGCAACAAATTTAAATTCTACTGAGGATCACAATGAAGAAAATTTATCTGTCGCAACAGCAAACAATAAACCTGTCAAAAATACAAAGAAGACATTAGTGCAGAGAAGAAAGCAACGAGAGCAGAAGCAAGCAAGTAATGAACTTTCATTGATCAAACTGGAAAAGAAAAAACTTTCTGATATATACAAGCTGAGGATTCTGCAAAAGCAGATAGAGGCCAAAGAAAAAAAACAAGAGATTTTACGACAAAAACGAATAAAGAATGAAGAGAAAAAATCCATTTTACCGAAAACATTGAGTAAGACAAAATTTGAGCCCTTGGATCTCGATTTCCGGCTTGCGGAAGAATTGACTGGCAATTTGAGAAATTGTAAATCCTCTACGAATTTACTGAAAGATCGATACAAATCGCTTCAACAGCGAAACATGGTTGCTCCAGCTGTTATAAAACTGTAAGTACAAATAAAGATAAATATATGACATAAATTTATTACAAAAAACAAGGACATAAGTTTGAGAGGATGTTTAAAGAAAAATAGTTTCAGATTTCAGGGGATTTAAATATGAAAACCATTAATTGATTAGTTGTTCAATTTTAAAACTAATTAAGAAAATATTAATAAATTCTTCAAACATTTTTTTAATACATTATAATAATTTTTTTTTCTGTTATTTAGGACGCGAGATAAAGCAAAGGTGAAAAAATTTGTGAAACCAGATCATAAAATAAATATGGATGACATCAAACTAAAATAAGGAATGTACAATATCTATCTCTGTGCTGCTATACTTTTTTTTTTATTTGAAAATTAGTATGCAATTCTTGTTATTATTAAAGAAATTGTTATATTTTACAATTAATTAAGAGAGATAGAATCTAAAAGACAAAATTGGGTAAGTTTACAATATTTATTGAAATATCATAATAAACAATTTGTTCACAAAATAAAACGAAATTATATCATGCGATTTTATTCTATTTTTGCAAATAAAATATATCAATTTTTTTATAAACAATTTTTTTCCTCATCGTTGCTTGTCATTCGTTCAGCATTAAGATTTGTCAACGCACATTTAATATCATAAAAAGACTGCAATTGTTTTTGCAATTGATTAGATATCCATCGTTTCTGATTTTCAGCAATAGAAAGTTTCATTTTTTCTAAATAAAGTAAAATTTCTAAATGTTTTACGTGTGCCTCGCACTTTTGCGCTTTGATCAGAGCATTATCTTTATTGGTTATGTATTGCTGTTCCATAAAACGGGTTATGAGTCTGGGTTTGATCAGTTTAGATAAATTGACATTCGTTTCATCGTAAGTTTTACGTAATATTGTGACCACGGATTTTTCAATTTTAGTGCTCCCTACGGAATGTTTTGCGCTCAAGTGATTATCATTGATTTCTCTTTTATATTTTTTTATTGCGTTTCTGTGGAATAATAAATGTTGCAACATTATTTTAAAAATTCATATATATTAATATAAATTTACACAAACAGCAAACTTATAGAATTACAATTTTGTTTACTTTGTTATAAGTTATAGTCGAGAAATTATAAATTTCTAAATTGACTTACTTGTGTTGAATATTGTTTTGATTATTGTTTTCATGAGTCTCTGAGATTGTTAACAATTTATTGTGTACAGCTACATTTTCCAACAATAATCTTGCTATAGGAGGCAATATATACTGAGATATTTCAAGTTGAAACACACCAGTCAGATCCAGAAGATGCTTATACAATTCTTTTTTCAGTCTAAACCATATTACTCAAGTAAAATATAAATTATTTTACAATAAGAAAACAGAATTCATCTACTATACTTTTCTGTGTCAATTTTGAATTTATATTCAATCTGATGTAAACTCTCTGCCATTTGTTCTGTTTCATGAATTAATGATTGATTTTGCATATTCAGTTTCTTTTTCAGAATATCTTGCATTGACTTGTAATCTTCCAAAACGTTAATTTTACTCCCTTAACATATGTTATAAGAAATTATATATATGAATGATATATAATATAAAGATATATATATAAGATGCAGTTATACTTAAACATTTCATTTGCGAAAGAAGTGTAAATCGTGCATTTTTATATTTTTCATCTATATTTGTGACATTTCTAATATAAGCAAATTTATCCTCGGTCATTGATTTCTCTAGAGCAGTTAGGTGTCTTTTATAATTTTCTATCTTGATCACGTTGGAAGTTATTTGTGCATTCATACTGGATATTTCTTGTGCTTTTTCCTTTTGCAAAGTTTGAATAGAATAATCTAAATCTCGTAAATTATCCTCCAATTCCTTATTTCGTTTTTCTAATCTAATTTAAAAAAATATTCTGGATGTTATATATTAAGCTTCCTTGAAGATCTTTGTCAGACAGATTTGAAAGTATAAAAATATAAAAGCGTCTTTTAATAAATACCTTTCAATTCTTTTATTCGTTTCTGCAATTTGTAAGGTGTAAAAAGATTTTTGTGTATTAATGATGACATTTTTCAGCTTGGTTTCATCAAAGTTGCGTGACCGAATAGAGGGAACATTTTTCTTTTTGTACAAATCCATTTTTATTGTCAAGTTACAGTCAAGATTATTTGATCTAACGGTTTAATTATATAATATATAAGAAATATATGTGAAATGCATCATAAAGATATTTAAATTTATTAAATAATTGTGTGACACTTCGAACTTGTTGTCATACTCTCCATTATATCAATGTTTTGTTTGCTTGTTGTTTTTTTTATCATAGACGTAATAAGTAATAGACTGCTTACGTCGTTCGAGAGTGTCGAAAATTTAAAAAAAGAAAGAAAGGCATTATTGGTTCTCATAGAGAAAAAATATAGTGCTGTTCTCTACAAAACCTTAAACTCGGTATTCTAGTTTAAAAGTGAAAGCACGAGAATTTGCACAGTTGCACACCCTGTTGTGCACAGCCATAAAGTGCGAATCTATCGACGCAAATTAACATGGGGCAAATACAGAGCAAGATGATTCTTATCGCAGAAACAGCTGTTCCATGCTGAGTAATGTATGTGTTTCATAAAGAAAGAAAAGAATAAATTACATACATTACAGCGACGGAAAAAAACCGATATTTTATATTAACTGAAACTCGTTAATAATTAATAGTAAGTTAATTGTCGAGAGACATTGATGCGGATGTAAAAATATTTTGTCATTTTGATGTTTCGCTAAATAATTTTGTTTTTTAGCTAACATTAGCTGCGATAAAAGTTATGTGCAACAAGAAATAATTGAACGATTAAGCATGGATGTGGTGACTACGAGCTTAGAAGCTCTTATACGTGAGTACGATACAACTGATACAATTCATTTATGTTATATATGTTTATTTTTAAGTATGGTAGTTTTTAAACATTTATTATGTATATTTATTTTTATATTACATTACTTTATAGAGAGAGCTACAAATCCACAAAATCAGAAGCCCGACATAGCAGCCACTGAAGCATTCTGTGTGATGCTCAACCGAATGCAAGAACCTGAAGGTGTACAAATAGGCACCAAATTGCTGGCAACACATATCCAATCATTTAATGAATCAGAGGCACTGCAAGCTCTCTCGGTATGTCATCTTTTTGATATTTGCCATATTTTCATGTTGTCATATTATTTGAGTTGAAAAGAACATTTACTTTTAAAATTTTCTTTGTAGCTTGATAACATTAATTTTTTTATAGCTTTACCAGAATAGATTACTACCAAAATTATATATATTGTGCTGAACAAAATTACGTACATTGTGTGTGTATTTATGCTATTCTTCTCAGTTAGCAAGTTGAGAAGTTTTAACCCAACTATTTATTTTAAACTAATTTGATTTATTTAAAAAACTGTAATTTTTTAAATCTTGAAAAATAGAAACATACCCAAAATTATTTCTGTAATGATACAATTAAATTTATGTGAAGGTGGTATATTTAAAATTTTTTGAGAATTTATATCTAAGTACAAAATTTTGCAATTTTAAATTACAAATCCAATATGGCAATTAAAAATTCAAAAAATATATTTTATATGAAAGCTTTTCAGGGAGGGATATTGTTTAAATGTGATTAATGTAAATTAAAATTTTAGAATACATATGATAGTTTATTTTATGTTTTATATAAATTTATTTTTTTTTCAGTTATTAGATACTTGTATGAAGAGATGCGGCCCATTATTTCATGCTGAAGTTGGAAAATTCCGTTTTCTTAACGAGATGATAAAACTTGTTTCACCCAAATATTTAGGCAGTCGCACTACACCAAGTGTACGACAAAAGGTTCTCCAACTTCTTTATGCATGGATCAGAGAATACCCTCGTGAATCAAAAATTAAGGAAGCCTATGAAATGCTGAAAAAGCAAGGAGTTATTGAGGTTATCTTTGTTTATTATATTTATATCTGTATTGTCATCTGACAATTAAATTCATAGATATATCCTTTTTCTCTTAAGCATTGAAAATGCGACAAATATAAAAATTATATCTGTTTCTCTTATCTGTTCATTTTATTCCAATAGCATACAAACAAATGCTCACTAATTGTTATAATGTATTGAAAATTGTTGAGTAATATTTTGGCAAAGTATTGTAAAAAAATCGGATTTTATTAATTTAAAAATAAAAATTACAGGAAGATACAGCATTTATAATGGCCAACAGTGAGGAAAGTCAAAAGTCGTCTAAGATAAAGAACAATATATTTGAAAATGAAGAAATGTCGAGGCATTTACGCAAGTTACTTCATAGCAAAGATCCTTATGATTTGCAGACTGCAAACCGATTAATCAAGGTTATGGTGAAAGAGGTAGAGTTCTACTTAAATTTTAGAAGAATATTTGAGAGAGGATACTTAAACATTTGAATAACTCACAATTTCTGGTTTTAATATTTAGTAAATTTTATTTTATTAATTTCAAAACCTAAGTTCCAAGTTTCTTAAACTAATTACAGATTTTCTACTTTAATAGGATGAAGAAAGATTGCAATTGAGTTCACGAAGGAGCATGGAATTAGAATCGGTGCATAACAATGTGAAGTTGCTATCAGAAATGTTGGATTCATATAATCAGAGCGAGACTAGTGCTGAGGATCTCGAATTGATGAAGGAGCTGCATCAAGCCTGCGAACGACTTAAACCTATTCTATTGAGACTCGCCAACGAGACACAAGATAATGTTGAAATGCTCGGTATTGACCACATAACCTATTTATTCATAAATTTCTGCATAATTTTATTAAATATAATCAGCAAATTATTAATCTTCTTAATTGTGCTTTAATTAATGTATGTTAGGCGACGTGCTGGCTGCAGGCGACGAGTTGAACCAAGTCTTTGAGAAATATACATCTATTATCGTTCTTGGGCAATCTCATAAATCTTCTATGACGGAAATTTCTAAGGCAAATTACAATAACGGATCATCTCTGCTGGACTTGTCGTCCCCTACTGAAAGTGGTTCCTGTGATAGCGCTTTAAATACGACGCACAATACAACGTTAATGGACCATTGCTCCGATATGGAAATGCTGGGGGATATCTTCAGCGTGCTGGAGAAACCATTCAAATCGGACACAAATCTTTTAATGCCGAATACTATCATGCAACCAATCAGTGTCTCGTCTGTGAACAAGAAAAGTGAGTATAAATCATAATTGAGCAGATTTAACGCAAAGATCTTAGACTTACGAGATATTTCAGCACCGTTTAATTTATATTTGATTTTTTCCGCGAATTGTGAAACTTATATTTCTTTTTTGTTATTTCTCTAAACGACAATATTTGACCGTAGACGAAGTTACCAACATTGGCGAAGAAAAGATAGATAGCAAAGCAAAAGCACTCGAAGAGTTAAATGAATTAGGAGAAACTTTACTTAAACAAAGCTTGTCGAATGCTATGTCAACTGCACGCTCGTCACAAGGGTAAGAAAAAGTTATCTAAATTTGAAAACTGTAGGAATTATCTGAGAATCTAGAAATCTCCCATCTTTTAGTTTCAGACTAAAGTTGTAAGATTTAGAAAGAGAAAAAGAAAGTTATATTAGTTTGATAGAATTGACTCCCAAAGAAATGTAACGGTCATATATTTTGATTTTTATAAAGAAAATGTCGATTTATGTAAAAAAATACAAAGATTAAATTGTTTTTAGAAATGCTATTATAATTTTGTGTTGATGGATTTTGCAAAATTGCAAACACAAAAATATCTTTTTTTTCCCCTTAGAACTTACAACTTTAAATATTTTTATGCCTTCATTTAACTTCGAAATAATTCAAGTCCTCATTTAAGATGAGACACCTTGCACAATACACTCTAAAATCTTTCACGTTTAGAAAAGTATATTTAATATTTTTGCAGCAAAGCGAACAGTAATACATTAAAAACTCAAGGCACCAGTGATTCTATTTGGAAACAAGATTGGTTACACGATTTTAGCAACAACACGTCGCAGGCGGAACAGCCAGATGCAAAGAAATGTGAAACAAAAACCAATTCTAACATTTCTGCATCCTTGAATTCATCAAAAATTAATGCAAACGCTGATGTATCGTGCAATAAAAATATTAATTCGGAAACTTTGGATGCGAGATTGCAACAGCAAAAAATAGCGCAGAATGGTGCGTCGACGTTAACAGACGTCGAGCCCGAAATCAAACCATTAACTGATATCATCGTCAATCTTGAAGACATTAAACCAGGTTAATTATATTAGTTTATATACAATAGCATTATATTTCACTTTACTATTTAGTTTTAACTTTTCTTATTCTGTATTTTTTTTATTCAAGTTTTATACAAAATCAAATCAGTCATTTTATTATTAATATTAATTTTAATTTAATATTTATTTTTTTTTAGGTATAAACCCACCTCTAACAGTAATCGAAGAAAGAAATGGTATAACTGTAGTGCTTCACTTTGCTCAGGATAGCCCTAGACCCGATGTATTTGTAATAGTAATTACTACGATGAGCAAAAATGCAAAACCGCTTAGTAATTATTTATTTCAAGCAGTTGTGCCCAAGGTAAGGGCTCTAATAATTTATAAAATTTTCATACAATCTCTTTGGAATCTAAGCATACAAATCTCAAATATTAAACTTAGAAAATCAAGGATATGTTATAAAATAAAAGTCACAAATTTTATATACTTCGAGATTATGGATCAAGGATCCAAAATATGACAATTCAAGAATGGCAGAATTTTTAATTTTAAAGTATCTGAAATCTGAAGATGTGTAGATAGATTTTAAAATTCAGAATTTTAATAAGATTAAAATAAATATCTTTAAAATGTATGCGCAGAAATGTAAGTGCAAGCTGCAAGCACCTTCCGGAACAAAATTGCCAGCACACAATCCATTCCTTCCACCATCTGCAATCACGCAAATTATGCTGGTTGCAAACCCTCTCAAGGTAACGTAATTACAATTTTTCTAAACTTTGCTCAAGGAAAATCAACAATTACTTTAAAATTACTTTACAATTATTTTAAAAAAATTATATTTTAAAGTACATTGTAGTCATACATGGGCAGTTTCCAAAATAAAGTATGCTTGAAGAGAAAAACAAAGAAACATTTAAAAATAAAAAACTCTTTGTTTATTAACATTTAATCGTGTTATTAAAGAAAGTATAAGTTACAAATAATTAATTGATCTTGAACATTGAAATTATTTTATTTTATGGAAAATTTTTCTATTTCAGGAGCCTGTATCTTTAAAGTTTATGCTAAGTTACACGATGGACGATGAGACGCTTACAGAAATGGGTGAAGTGGACAAATTACCTCATCTATGAGAGCTGACGAAGCTTTTCTGCGATCTCTGTGCAATATTGCGCTCGTATTCGTCGTGTCCTCAGCAGGTTGAAAATAATATAAGAATATTCCACTTATTGCAATCGAATTATTTAAAAATATGTGCAATGATAAAAATGATTAGATATCCTTTACACTACTTTAAGCTTAGAATGCATAACAATCTGAATAAATTAATCAGAGGGCTATCTTATAGGTGTAAATTCTATATAGACTACTCCAAATACATAAGAAGATAAAGACGAAAAATCTAGTAAACTTATATGATAAGAGTGTGCTTATGAGGAATAGTTTCTTGTAATATTTCAAACCTGCTAAATAGAAACAATAAGGTAAGACTCGATTGTTACTTATTAGTGAGAGCATACAAGTGATGACGTTCTATTAATTTATCGTACTTTTATTCAAATGTAATAATGATTTAAAAATCACATTTATTCTTTCTCAATCAGTCAAGATCAACTCTTTAAGTGTTAATGACGTGTATATATACATCATTCCAAAAAGTATTTTTCATGTATCGATTTTGATAAAATACGGTATTCATAAGTTTTTCAAAGTCGCTAAATCTTCATTCAAATCTCTAATTAAAATTTTCGAATTTAATATGGCAGCATGACATTTAATGCAGCTGATGCAAATTTAAGAAATGTTATAGTTTGTTTAAAAAATATTTTTATTTTAAGATTTTAACTCGCATACTATATTCAAATTGAGTATCAATAAGAATTTTTTAATTTATATTATATTTTTACTTTACATTTATTTTTTCTTCTTAACAATTTATTTCCTAATTTTTAAATTAAAGATTTCTAAAACTTCTCTTGAAGAAGAACTTTTATATAAAATTTGAATTTCTAATTTGCCACATTTAATTTGCAATTTTTTAAATTTCAAAATTTTTATAGGTTTAAATTCAGTGCTTTAAGCCCCCCCCCTCCCTACATGAATAATACAATTTTACAATTGTTTCTTTATAAAAATCGTTTTCAGTAATAAAACATTTATTTTTCCTAACATTTAAGGAGTTAAAAAACAACACTATCTTATTTTGCATGAATATTGCAAGAAAACTATTTAAAATGCAACCGATATGTTACTTCGTGATAATTATTATATCACAAAATAATATATAAAGTATAATACGGCACTTACTTGTACAAGATCGACTTATTGTATTATATTTACATAGGTTATATAGTAATATAATAAGTATCACAAAACGGTTGCAAGTCATGCATTCTAGAATTGAATTGGTGAAATAAGTATTAAAATTGAAAGAGAGAGAAAGGAAAGCTGAAGATCCTTGAATAAACGAGGATAAATATAAATTATTTATTGTTAGTAAATTGTTATGAATATCTGTCGACTAGAATGTTGCTATTCTCCCCAATCGGTTCGTTTATGTACTTAAGGCTATTTTCTTACTACAATCATTATATTAAATTGTGATGTAGGAAACGAAAAGCTATTTATAAGCAACAAGTATAGATAGTGTAGATAGTATAGATTCTATACTATCAAATGACATTTCAATATACACTGCAAAAATTCACATGGGCTTGTTGTTTTTGCATTAGTAAATACACAATAATATTCAGTTTACATATTTTCTACATTTCCAGCAAAAACCTGGAGTTGCACAGTTAATTAAGATTAATAATTATTTGTTGAACGGAGAAAAGAACCTTTGATATATGTTATCAGTATTTTATGCATATCTACTATGCATGGTATGATATGCAAAAAAACCAATTTATTTTTATGTATAGCGTAAGAAAAAATTGTCATTTCTCGCTTCATACATCACAATTTAATATGACTGCAGCGAGAAATATTGTCTTAAAAATCAATCATACGTACATAGTATACTAGTTTGTGATATATGCTTCGATAAGTGTAAACTTATTTTAAGACTGCGAATTTAATAAACCAAACAAAGGACAAAAGTGAATTATCGCACCGTACGAAAAAAAAAAAAACTCCGCAATGTGTTTTAATGATATCTTTTAATTAATATTTTAACTATTTGTTATATGTATGTTAATTTGATTATTATATGCATATTAATATTATGTTGAATTTTATAAATATTTCTTGAACAATCTTCTATTAAACTTGTACAAATATTAATTTCTCATTTTGGAAAAAGAACGATTTAAGCAAATGTAATAGTATATAATTGAAATAATATATACAAACGAATTATTAATATACAATTAATATACATCTAATGGATTTCTTTCGTAAAATAAAAATGAGAAACGTACAAAATTAAATTTCAAAATTTTTTTATAAAAAACGAAACCATAATATTTAAAAGTATTTGAGTGTTACTTTCTATTACTAGCTTGTGGAAACGATTTCGTCGCGAAAAGCGAGAGCCGTGACAGCCTTTTGGTGTCCTTGATATTCTCGTTCTACTGTTCCTGTAGATGCATTCCATAACCTCGCGACTCCATCTGAAGAAGCTGCACAAAATATCGAACAAAGTAAAATTAATTGTGAATATACGCATATAATCTTGGTTACAAATTTTTTAATGAACTATAAAATGAGAATACCAGTAAATATATATTGGGAATCTGCGCTGAACGCTGCGTCCCAAACCCAACGTTTTGCCTCATGCTGCAGCACTTGTACTTCAGAAAAGTCCGTTGTTCTCCATACTCGTGCGGTCTGATCAGCCGACGTTGTCACCAACAATCTTAACAAATTCATTTAAATATAAATTTCATTAGACGAAAAATAAGTAAAAATAAAAAGTTGAGAGTGTCTATTATATTCTTCATACTCATTATATAGCATTCTTTCTTAAATATCTTCTATATATAGTGATCTATGGATGTAAAACTTATTCCTCCACTTAATTTTGCAAAAGCACGCTACCAATTTATTATCCTCTCTCTTCTTTCAAATTTTACTTTTGTCTTTTTTTGTATCATCATACAATTCCGATACTTCAGATCCTAATTTTATAATTAGCGTTATTTATATTAAATTATCTACAAGATTTTCCATGAATTCCTACTTCTAATTTCTAAGCTTTCTTAAAGTGCATCTTTCAATTCCTAATGTAATATTGCATATATAATGTAATAATTAAAGATGGAGAAATGCATATCATAAAAATAAAATAAATTTTTACGTAGAATCTGGACTGAATTTGCAGCGAAGAGCGTAACGTTTATGAGCTAGAAGTTTGTGACGAGGATTAAGTTTCGTGGGTTCTTCTCCAATGCCTCCAGTAAGAGTCCAAATATAACAGTGTCCTTTGTTATTTACAGCTGCCATATAAGTGCCATCTTGATCCACCGCAATATCCTGGATGGAGGATTCAGCTTCAGGAATCTGCAACAGTTATTTATAAATAACAAAATTACTCAAATTATTTAAACTATATATTTTTGGCATATTTCTTATATAAATTGTAAACATTCTCATATATATACAAAATCAAATCAAACGTCAAAATCTTGTGTTTATCACACAAATCTTAAAGATAAATGTAAAATTTTTTAATATAAAAGACATACTAGCTGCTCATTGTGATCTGAACGAAGATCCCATAAGTGTATGACTCCGCTTTGATCACCAACAATCAGTTCTGCTTGATTAGGATGTAGACATACACAATTCACAGGTGCAGATACTTGAAATATTCTTTGGCATTGGAAGGTACTTGATCTGTCATTGAATTTAATTGATTATTTAATTAATTGAAATTGAACAAAACTGCCCATTCTACAAATAATTTACCTCAGGTCCCATACTCTTGCAGAACAATCTTCTCCTCCTGTATACATCCACTTTCCTTCTTCCTGTTGTAACAAATATTGATAATTTTTAAAAATTTATTTTAATTTAAATTGTCAAACTAACATTTATCATTAAAAGTACATTTGTCATAAAGTCTTAGATGTGATTTTAAATTCATAATTGGAATATTAAGATAAAGAATTTTTAATAATTATAAATTTTTGTAGCATTTTAAAACCAAACTAAAGATGAGTTTTAATGTAAGATTAGATTATGAAAAGAAGCTTAGAAGTTGATTCATTTGCACTCCTTGTTGAAAAGAAACCAACATAAGCATTTTAAAAATTATTAAAGTTGACAGCCATGATTTCCAATATAAATTATTGATTTTACTTTATAGTGTGTTAGCTCTTATGCTAATTTGTATTATTGAAAACATCTAGCAATACTGCATATTATATTGACTTTTGCTGAAAGCACTGAGAAGCTATCTATACTATATCTTTACACATAAAAGCAATTTGTCAACTAATACCATGAGGATATCTGAAATTTCCTTAGATTAGTGTAACTGTAAAGCAGTTCTATGATGTACAAAGGAAAGTCAAAATGTTCTTTTACTTTTTGACTTCTTTCTAGTATTTTTATATAATAATACACAATATTGACACTAAACCTGAAAGCCCAAGCTGGTAATGTTCTTCGATACTCCTTCATAATTGATAACTGGATTTGGATTATTTGAAGCTAAATCATACATCCGTATATGCTGATAGCCAGCAGCAGCTACAACATATTTATCCGGTGTGATATCTAGCGCATTGACTTGCTGTGAAATTTGTTAAGAAATTCATAAAAACGTGGAAAATTCATTTTGAATAATGCGCAAAATTTTATTCTTACGATACTGCTACTTTCTTATAAGTTTTCAATGCTTATTAAATTTCCTCTAGCAAGAACTATGCATATATTATTTAATTTGCAAAATTATCAAAGGATACAGAATCTGTATGTTGACATGTGCGTTGGCAGACGCCCGTATGTGGTTGCCATATTTTGATAGTGTGATCATAACCTCCTGTGACGAAAATCACTTGCTCGTTACTAATCGCACTGTCCACCGTCATTCCTAATTGATTTATGATTTTTTAAATTAAAAAAAATTAAGATCGTTTGTTAAGATATTATATTCTGCAAGGATGACTGAACCGCACAGTCATTTGGGCTTAGCAAACCCACGAACCTCGCTCACAACACACTGCGATCATACATACACACATATACTAAACTCACATACATGTGCACATAGTGATTAAGAATTTTTAAAGAGAAACCGTTTAAAAGTGTGAATTAGACTCGGATAATGTACATGTTATGTTGTAAGCGACCGTATAAATAGGCATAGCTCCTAATAGCCTTTATATTTATATTTCAAGGGAGGAAAAAAAAAAGATATATATATAGATCTAAATAGCATATATGAATAAAAAGAAAACAATTACATTGTATTGTTTCTTATACTTTTACATTTATTTCTTCCTTAATCATAATTTAAGATAGTTATGTATCATATAATGTGTATTATAAACACATTTAAAAAGCAATATATAATAATACAACAATTAAATTTAAAAACGTCTAAATTGCTTTTTAAATCTTTCATAATGATAATCATCTGTTGCTTTTTCTCCATTTCCATCTTTTCGCTTTCCTCGAACATCTCCCTTAATCGTGAATTTTTTCTTATCAGATTCTTGCTGTGATTTCTGGAAATCTGAGTCTTCGATATTAACTGCAATAATATTTAACGTTTATGTTATAATTTTATATTTTAAGTAAAGAATTTAAATATCAGAAACAAAAAATATGTATGCTAAAATTACAAAAGTTAATAGATGAAGTTATATTTTAATAGTTTAAAAATATATGTTTCTTGAAAAATAATTTTTTGATAACAATTTGTTTGCAACTAAAATGACTTTTCTACAATTATTTCAATTTAAAAAATAGTAAGAATTCATACATCTGTTATGTTGTACAAAATTTACAGCCATATTAGTAGGAACAAACTGTGAAGGTCCTTCTTTCTTTATATGTCTATCCCAAAGCAATTTCAACTTTGCCTCTTCGGTAGCTTCAATATTGCGAATTTTAGCTCTGCAAATCAACATTTTTAAAGACAATCTGTTATAAAATTTATAGTTCTTATTATTTAAACTATAAATAAATATATATTAGTGCTATAGAGTGCAACAATTCTATTACCACTTTGAATATTTTTGAAACTGAGAAAACAAAAGATTGAGAAAATTGACCACTTCTGCCCCATACAACTTCTGTTAGACAATATTTTTTCTGCTCTCATAGTTTCAAAGATATTCAAGATGGTAATAGTTATTGCTTCACTTTGTATAAGAATCTAAATCAAAAATTGAAATATTTTATTCTATTTATTTATTTCAATTTTTGATAAGACTTATCCTTTTCTTTATACCAAATAATTATATAACTATATAATTTTTGTCCATATTATAAATGTATTTACTCTATGCCAAGATCAACTTCTGGAATACCAGATAGCATTTGATTTGAAAGCATTTCCTCGCTACGATTGGCTGAACTCTGTCTTAAATGTTCTGGTACTGCTCTTAATGCAGCTTCTTCTGGCGAGCAATATGACCCTTTTTCATTGCTCATACTATTTGTCATTTCATTACTATTTTTACTTTTACGTTTTGACAATTCTTCTTCTATATACTTGACCCTAATAATAATATTTTTATTAAATTGTGATGTAAAATGTATAAATCTTTCTAAAATGGTAGAATATAATACAAACATACATTTCTTCATCTTCATCGCGTTTATTAGTTTCTGCATTAAATTGTGTCCCAATGCCAGTTTCATATGCATCATTGTGTCTAAGTTTTGTATTTTTTAGTGCAGCCATATTTATCATTCCTCCAGTTTTCATATTAAAGGGATCAGTCTAAATTAATAAAAACTATCTTTATTTTATATTTATATTTTCTATATATCTTTTATAAGTTTAAACACATTATATATATCTTACCGTTATCGCATCAGATGTGACATTTTCTCCAAGAGCTAAACCAACAACATCGACACCAACTGGTCTTTTGCGAAGCTTTTGAATAATTTTCATCTCTTCAACTTTTTCTCTAAAATAAAACTTTTAATGATTATGGCAAATTTCAGCTGCTATTATTTAATTAATGCAGAATATATCAGGTGTAGCATACCTGACAGATATTTTTTCATCTTCGCTATCAGTGTCATCTGAGAAAACTTCACGTTTTCTTAATGGTTTTATCTTTTTCTTCTTAAATTCCACTTTAGGTTCTTCTTTATCACTATCGCCCATATTTTCTTCAGATATAATATAAAACTTTATATACTTTAAATTAATTAAATTATTAAAATAAGTTACTGTTAATTTTTATGCAAATAATAAAAGAAATACGTTCAATGTTGTGTTTTGGTAACAAACGGAAGAAACAGTATAATTAAGTATGTTATATTTAAATTACATTTAGGTTTAATTTGTCGTTTTTTGATTAATCTTAAATTAATTTTATATAGTATTATATTCGAACCATATATTATTTACTCTGATTACATTTGGGATACACTACTGAATTAAATCATACAAAAGTGACAGGTTAAGTCATAGATTATAATATAACTAGACTGCTAACTCGGCGAAATACATGATTCATGCCGATCGACGAATCGAGAATTAGATTGCAATCCACTAGATTATTGACCAATGATGTTATGAATATTCTAGTAAATTTGTTCATTTTTGTAATTTTCACGTTGCATGATATACAATCAACGCCCAATTTTTCAGCTGATTTTAAGTTAGGACGCGGCAATCAGAGAACGCATCCACTTGGTATAACTAGCTGGTATACAGGCTGACAGTGCGTTTTTTCATCGCGACGCCGATACAATTTGCGGTGGGGATGCCGCTTCAGATACACCGTTTTGTGCATCGCGTCCGTTATAAAGACCTTACGCGCTGCACTTGCGTGCATAGTGTACGTGTCGCTGCTGTTTCCTCCTAGGATTGACGCACAGCACACGCATTTCATGTGGCTTTCCATTTCGCGCGGAACTACGCGACGCAGGAGTCGGTATGTCTTTTTCTCTCTCACTCTCGCTGGGCCTGACAAGTGCAATGTGAAAAGGAGCGGGGTAGCGCGTGCGTGTGTGAGGTCTATCGAACTCCTCGGAATCGAGCGGGGAGAGAACCGAGAAGTGCGCGGCGCGCAAAGCACGCCGCTCCGTGGTGCTTGCTCCGTGGTGCCGCCGCGAACGTTGTGCTATGCCAGTATAAATATTATCCTGTCGCTCACGTCTCTTTTCTTTTTTTGCGCGAGTTCTTTTTCGCTTCTCGCTCTCTTTTTCTCCCTTTTTTCCTTTCTTTAATCATTTTTCTCTCTACCTTCTCGACGGCCGAATCATCCGTTGTCTTGTCGCTGGTCGCGCGCGAGTTATTCGAGTGTCTTGTCGAGCTTTGGTACGTTCTTCGGTAAATTATCGAATAATTAAGATGGAATGGAGTTTGACTGCAGTGATAATACAGTTAAAGTGACAGTTTGGCATTGTAATCGGGATTATCCCTGTGTTGTTGTGTTTCTACAGGGCACCGAGCGTCCGGTGATCGAGTCGCTCTGTCATCTGGTTCCAAGAAAAGAGAGAGAGGGCTGCCTCTGCCTGGTCGCGCGAGCAAGCGGACGAGACCGTGTGCATGTGTATGTGGCATGGCTCGTCGTCGGTGGTTCCTCGCCGCCTTTATTACAGCGGAACCCGAATGCGTGCGCGAGCGTACCCCTCTTGCCTGACCGGCCTACCCGCTGTTGTAAAGCTACCTTCACACGTAAAGCTGTCGACTTTTACGCAAGGACCGTCATCCGGCCATTGCTCGCCGAAGGAATTCATTATCACGGTTAATGAGAACCAACGTCGGCCGACAATCGTCCAATCAGCTTTTAGGTGAGAGTGTTGTATTTTTGATTGTCCTCTTTTTTTCTTTTTTTTTTAGCTACCTGCGTTAAATGACCGATGCTGTTACAATTTGTATAAAATGTTAATTCTTATAATATTCAATAAAGTCACTTTATAATGATATTTAAGAATTGCGTGAAAATAATTTTTAAATTACAAGAATTGCAGTAATTCCTGGATAATGTATCATAGAGACTAGCCGATGTGTATATTGATTAAAGAGCCAAACTGTTTTAGTCCCTTCGTTGCTTACAAGAGAAAAAAAAAATGAGAGAGCGACGTAATGCGGCATCGGATAAAAGGCTGAGTAGCGAAGTGGAAAATATACCTGTTGACCGGACGGAATCGAGAAGAGATTGGCGGTCAGACGTCGGAATGTGATGTAGGGGGGGGGATGAATTTTTATCCATTAATCGGAGAAAATTATCCACGGATTACTGTACTTCTAATTTCTTAATAATGCAACAGATCTACTTTCCGTTAGACGCTTTAATGTTTTTCGATTATTTTTTTAAGCGTATCGGTGCGATTTAAGAATTAGAAATCAGCTAACTGTAAAAGTCAGAAGTTGGAGTATGGGGTCGGTTAAATGATTCATGTCGAAAATCTCGGATTAGGACGCCGCATTACGTCTCGGAGCGCACATTGTAAACAGATGATCTATAATCACGTATGCGCCACACGTGCTGCGCCACGCTGCGCATTTCTTGCAGCATTTGCTGCACCTTCAATTGCAAGCGCGAGCGGGTTCCCTTTGTTCGACGTACCGGCACCGATGTGAACGTCGCTTAGCTCAGGTGCGCGTGCACAAAGGGGCATCCTCCAAGATGATGCATCTCGCAGCCGCATCTTGCGGCGGGCATGGAAACGGCGGCGCGTCCCCTTCGGTCATCGCGATTCACGCGTGTTTTTCTGGATAAGATTCTAAAGTGTAGAATTTACAGCGCTGGAATCGCGCAACTCTTATCTAATGACGCGATCGTATGTGTGGTATTCGGAGAAAAATGTAAATCTGACATTTAATCTTTTATCAGTGCAAAATTATTAATATGCAATTTTTATAATTATCTCAAGAATATATATTGATTTATTTCATCCTTTTTATCTCACTTTTCAAAGATATCGCGGATTTATTTATTCGGTATAAACGTAAACAATAAATAATTAATATTAAAATTCGTGCAATTTACTGATTTAAAATTTATAGCTATTATAAGCAAGCATGTATCAATGATAAATTTTATTTGCGTTGTTGTGTTGTTTCTTACATTTTTGATACTTTTATTTTTTGCAGAAAAATATTCCTTTCTCTCGAAAACACGTAATGTTTGTTTCAAGTGCGTGAAGTAAACGTAAGAAGTCTTTTGAGTGGGATAAAATAATTGAGGAAACTTCGATGTATTTAAGTGTACTGTATACTGTACTTTTAGAAAACAGTACCTTTCTATCGCAAACTATCCCGTGTGGCTCAATAGAAAATAGTCGATGATGAGAGTGCTTATGCTTTACGCTCGTCGGTCTTTACAAGCGCTTTCTAAGAATTCATGAAAATTTTCAACATTCACACTCCAGGTAATGTTATAGTAACTCGCATAAAATTGAATCACTATCGTGAACCATACGCCTATGGTAGACGTGCCCGCAGTGCTCCGTGAATGAAATAGCAACATGTACTTTACGATAGGAAATCAGTACTTACAAGTTATCGTGTACCTTTTAAGTGCATCGACAATGACTATATATGCAGTGCAGTCACGGACACGCATGTATCACAGATTTATCACGCTTGTATTCTAACTCACTTATTTTCATTGCCGACTTAAAATTATTTGTAATTGAAAAGAGAATTGATTGTTTCTCGGAAAGATTCCGATTTTTAAGGAATGTCATATTCCAATATTAAGTTAAATGCATATTTCTTTTATAATAATTCAGAAAGACTTGTTTTCACAAGTATTAGTTGAAGTTATGTGAAATTTCAGCGACATAAAATTTGTTTTTTTTTCTATGTATATAAAACTGAAAAATAGAATTTTTGCAAATTTTGTAAGAATTGTCTGTAAAAATTACGAAGACAAAAATTCCAGCATTCCGTAACACTGCGAAAAAGATTGTAAACGTTTTTCATATTCCAGGAACGTTTAACTGCATTACGATTTTTATTTTTATTTACTAGCAATTTTTTCAAGCAGAAAGTTTTCAAATTCCAGATTTACTTTATACTTTAGCTAAAACTACCATTACAAGAGTCTTATCCTGTGTATAGAGATGCTAATGAGCTATTTATTTATTATAATTGCAGCCAGGCTGGACGAGCATAGTCGAATGCAGCTGGGCTCAGCATGCCCTCTAAGAAGCAATACAACCTCGTACATAATGACGAGTACGACACGCGAATACCGCTGCATAGCGAGGAGGCGTTCCATCGTGGAATCGTGTTCCACGCCAAGGTAATCTAGAGTGATTTCTTATCCACTTCTTTCCTTCTGTACGCTCGCCTTCAGCTTCCATTTGTTTTTCTCAATTTTCGGCGAGTTTGTCTCGTGATTTCCGACCTCAAGTACATCTTGCACGCTCCTGTTCCCGTATTTTTATACCTCTGTCTTTCTAATTACGGTCTTTCATAAATTAAATGCATGCGAGCAAAAAAAACTGAACTTTTTATTTCTTAGAAATTTATAGAAAAAAATTGAGACACTTTCATAAACTAATTATGATGGAACTACGCGAAGAGAGCGAACATTTTGTAATTAAACTCGAATAATTTCTTGCTGAAATTTCTATAAAAAAAATTGTTAGCAATATTCGAAGAAAGCTTCTTGCTCCATAATGTTATCAAATCGCGTCTGGTTAATCGCGGTTGTAATTTCTAATCGCAAGAATCCCTTTGTAAGACTGCGCACACTTTCAGAAAATAGTAGCACTAACGGTCGATAGCGTTTCACGTCAGAGGAAAATGTATGTCGACTGTAAACTTATACTTCGCTCTTCTAACAGTCATGCGATGGGAACAATGGCATCTGTTTCTTTCGCGGTGCGTTAAAAAAATTTTACGCCTTCTTGGTTCCATTTCCGCCAAGTTTTGCACTACATAGTATATTACGATCCGTCGATGTAATAGATGGGGGGAGACGAATTTAGATACTGGGGCACCTTAATAAAATAATACTATAAGACGCGACACCCCGGCGTATATATTTCTAAATGAATTCGAGAAACTATAGATATACGGAGCGCGCGAGAAGTAAAACGTGCAGCTGATATTTACGAGCTAATATTTCTCGCGATGGCTAGCAAAAGCCCGCCGCGCGATCTTTTTGCAATGAAACTCAATCGTGCGGCGGATGTAAACTACCAGCCTTCAACCGCGGAACGGACGGGGCGAAGTGACGTAAAAAGGACATTCCGCCAAAAGAGACAACGTGGCGTATCTGGCGTGACGAAAGTGATTCGAGGAACTCGATAATACCGGCCGCGAGCAATAATATTTAGACGTCGTCGTTGATGGTGCAACAATTGCGACGACAGCGACGGCGATATCGGGGCTTATTTCTGGCCACACCGTCGTGTGGCCCCTGTCGTGACGTCATCGTATCGTGCACGTGTTTATTTCGGTGGCACTTCTCCTGAGAAAGGTTAAAGCTTTTGTGCGCTGCGCGTTGTTGCCGCTCGTAAATTGCACGCCGCGAAGAAACCGCACAATGTGGAATTTGCATTTGGTTTACACGGCATCGTTGACGTTCGCGCTTACGCAGGAAGCGCCACGGAGGTCCGCGATGCGTTTCTAAGGGACGTCCGAAGCTCCTTACATTTTCTCATGACTCGCAGAACCTGAAATTATTTCGTTTGTTTGTCAGCTTAAAACAATATCTCGAAGATGAAATTTCCAGATAAAACAACAGTTGTAAAATATGCATGCTGCCTTTGTGTTTGTATTATATCCAAAGAATAAGGATGTAAACTCGGAAATTTACTTTTTCGCAAGAAGACTGCGAGGACTCAGAATTATCGTGTGCTCTGTTTTAATTTGTAATATTTTTTGCGCTCCGAGACAGCCGCGCTGTTGTATCACGGTTGAAGAAACTATGGTCTGAAAAATTAAAACATCTTTTACAAGGATACCAGAAATAAATAATAAAGTAATTTACTTTCCAAATTACAAAAACGTCAGTTTGTCTTCTTCGAAGTAGGTTCCTCGGAATTGTATGCACGCGTCATATGCATGCTTCGTAGCATTTCTGGAACTCGTTTTCTGAAATACCTTTCTGCAACTGTGTCACATTTGCTCCGACCGCTAAAATTGTCTCAAAATGCCGTAACTCCTTTCACGTTGGAAAACAAAAAAAAAAAAAATTGCACAGTTCGAGATGGAGTGAATAGAGAGGGAAGAAGGTGATTCAACGTTGTTTTATCTTTTGAAAGATTTTTTTATTTTTATCGCGGAATACGTGAGAACATTACTGTGATGCAGAATTCACGATACGATTTTGAAATGCACACGCGCGACTCGTTTCCGAAGTCTTTCCAGAACTTTGTGGTGAAAATATTGACGGTTTTCAAACTTAGCACACGGCTGGATGTGGATCGCGTTACACGTGCTGGATTCATTGCGAATTTCTGTGTCAGCAAAAATTATTATTGAAGCTTTATTGTCAGATCTCGACTGTCTTGTAATGTCTTTTATGTATTCGCGTTGTTTAAAAAGCGATTCGATTTCTGCTGCTTTTCACTGCCGGTCGGCGTGGCATAAATTTTCCTTGAGATGTTGTGGAAGAGACGAACAATCGGTTTAATTCGAGAAGCGCCGCGAGTATTGCTCCGGTTTTTCCGCTTCGACGAAACGATTTTTCGTCCTAGTAAAGCCACAATAATTTTAGCGACGTTAGTGGCAGAGGATGGTAAATGACGCGAGCACCCGGGAAAAGGGGACACGTCTATGCAGCAGCCAAAGTTACCGCGTCTTGGTGCTACTTTGTGAATTAAGCCCGTAAGATGAACTTTATTTCTGTAAGATCTAAGGAACCCGAAATCTGAGAGGTCGACGCGCATGTAATTTTATTATTTGAAGTTTTAATTAACCACAGAATGTGTCCATTAAAAAAATGCACTTAGCGTTTTTAGGATGATTATTTTCAGCGTCGATTAATTTTAATCGATGGTTCAGACTTGTCAAAATTGCCAAAATTTTGAACTTTTTTCTCCTTTGATGACGATATTTCAATGTTGGCAATTTTATCGACAAGTTTTAATCATCGGTTAAAGTAAATCGACGCTAGAAATAGTGAGCTATAAATGTAGATGTCGATTTGCACCACGAACTTGCAATCAATATTGCATCTGAAATAGCGTACACACTTTTTACAATACTATAAAGCAAGTAAAATCCCGACAACGGGATTGTTTCACTTCAAAATCTACTTACGTATAATCCATCATGCCGTATATCGCACAGGTAAGCTTTTGATCTATAACTCGAGCTTTTTGTGCGCGGTAAATTGAAGAGACGAGAGAGAGAGAGAGAGAGAGAGAGAGTATTTTATAGCAGGAACTGTTTCTCAATTCGTTCGCTGTTATCGCGAGCCGCCGCGTCGCTATCGATCGCAAATTTATAAAGAAGCCGTCCTTTCCTCCTGTCGTGAGCCGTGTGCGTGGGAGAACACCACGTGTGCGTCGAATCAGCCGAACACGTGGCTAAGACCGTCGCTTCAATGGGGGAATTCTAAATACAGATCGTCAGAGAGACCGTAGTCCTCCTCCGCGGTATGATTATGGCAGCGTAACTATATGTGCACTGCATACACATGCGAGCGGGGCGGTGCGTTCCGTACGACGCTCTCGTCCGAGTCCTGTCATGGTTTATCCCAGGGCGGATAATTTATTCCCTGAAAGATGATGACTGTGGTTAGTTGCACCGCGGCAAGCGGGAACTTGCGTCCCAATCAACCAAATTTATATTTCGCATTTTATAATTCGAGAAAGAAATGTATATTTTCAAGTGCAATCTCGACCACTTTGGAGAAATTAAGAAAATTAATTTCACAATTAAGAAAGTGTTAAATATATTAATTCGATTTCTTTCAAGTTTGAAAGAAAGATATCGCTACAGCTAATATTTACGGCATATCAAGAGGCGTGCCACGTGTATTCCTTGCTTCGTGAACTGTTAATAATGCTGCTGTATTTCTTCTGTTCCAGTTCATTGGTTCGATGGAGGTTCCGCGACCGACTAGCCGAGTGGAGATCGTGGCGGCGATGCGAAGAATCCGCGTGAGTACGCGTAAATAGCTAATTAGCCTAGTTAGAGCGGCAGCGCGGCACAATCGTTCTTCGCAGCCGTGCGTTTCCTGGATTGATTCGGATTTGTTTTCTTTCGCAGTACGAGTTTAAGGCCAAAGGGATCAAGAAGAAGAAAGTGACACTGGAAGTTTCGGTGGACGGGCTGAAAGTGACCCTGCGGAAAAAGAAGGTAATTTTTTGTTACGCTACGTTGCTACATGTTCGTATGCGCATAATTTGCTTGAACGTGTTAACTCATTTACTGGATAAGCTAATTTGAGATAAGACGAGTCCGTTAGACTCAACGGTATATCGCATAATTTGGAGAAAGAACAAAGGGAAATGCACTTGAATATTGGCGCATTTTTGCGCTTAGAAACAATCTGCGTTATTGTTGGGAAAAATGTACTTTGTTCAATATCTGCTAGTTTATTTTCTTTCTTACGCAATTATAATAAAAAACGCAATAATTTTACGAGACTTTTCAAAATAAAAAATTTGCTATATTAATCTAATTCTTGTAAGGAAAAGTGAGAAATATTACTTGCGACATGAAGTCTTGAAAGTTTAAGTTTCCCGCGTAGATAAAGAAGACTTTTCCTGAATGTTGCGAGCAAAATCGAGTGTGCGGTGATATGCATTTCACAATAGTTGTAATTTATCACGAGAAACGATTTTGGACAAACGCCACGATGTATTCGTACTGATACACATATACGCGATATATTCTCGAAGTAATATTTTTGCTATTTGTGACTATTTTCGCAGAAGAAACAGCAACAATGGATGGACGAGAATAAAATATACCTGATGCACCATCCGATTTACAGGTGAGATTGAATTCACTTTTCTACATTTACCGTACTTTTGAAATTTTTATTATTCAGAATTTTAGAAAAAAGAATCTTGCGGTAAATTTTTAATAATTAATCCAACATTCGTAACTGCCGATTGATGTTGCTGAAACCATCCTCACTTGTGTTTAATTATAAACCAAATTTATTTCCAAGTTGTAAACGACTGAGTTTAATTGTTCGGAATGCACGAAGTATGTCGCGTGTCCAAGAATCCGACAACACTGAGCAAGCGTGATATTTGCGCTTGAGAGACAAATTGTTTTCATGTCTGACGCATACTAACGTCAAAATACGTGCATGTAATAACGTCAACACACCAGTAAACAGAAATTGCATATTCGCGCCCAGAGATGTTGCTCGAAAATAATGATCTCATTGTGAGGACGTCACGACGTGCTGCGCGTAATTTTAGAAACAATAGACAAGCGATTCTATGAAACAATTTTTCAACAAAACCAAAATCGTACGTGTTTCAGGATATTCTACGTCTCGCACGATAGCCACGATTTGAAAATATTTAGCTACATCGCTCGCGATGGGAGCAGCAACACTTTCAAGTGTAATGTCTTCAAATCTAGCAAAAAGGTAAAGTTTTTGTGATAACCCGATTGATAGCGTCGAGCTCTTCCTACATCGAGCATAATTTTAGATTAAATCGTACAAAAGCGAGAAAGGATCGTTACGCAGACGCAGTTATGCAATACGGAATTATTATTACACTTGGCTCGTTTTTGTCGCACAATAATGTCCAGAAAAGTTAAAATTAATTAAGTGATGAATGATGCAACCGAGAGAGGAGAAGGGAAGTTTCGTCGAGGACAAGATTCGATATACGCTCGTTTGCAACTGGGCGAAGCCGGCTGAACTCTGGCCAGATCCATCCGCTTTTTTCGTTTCGGTGTGCGCGATATTGGCCGACGTAAAGTTACGTCGAGCACGTGCGTGCATTACGCGAGCCGCGACAATTCACGCAGCCCGCATCGTCTCGTCGCCTGGCGCTTTATCAACTTACGTTATTGTAAACCTATAAATAAACGCGCGGGCTCCTTGACGGTCTATGCCCCTCCCCCCTTCGCTCTCTTCCCCGCGATCTTTTCTCCGTCTCGGAGACGCGAAGACGGCGGGGACGTGCGCGCCGCTGCATCCCTGTCGGGGATGAGAGTGTATTTTCGCCGTTTCGTGGGTGGAGGGATAGCCCCCCGATGGATATTGCGACGGGGTGGTAGCGCGGGGCCACGCGGGGGACGTATCGTTTTGTCGTGTATTTGCAGTGACGGCTCGCGGTGCTGTTTGGCATCGAGTTGTTAAAATAGTCCGATATAGGCCGGGCGCGAGATCTTCCGCGACATCGGCGGACCGGTGACTGGCGTCTGGCGGCGCACACCTTCGGATCCGGAAACTCGTCTAGTCTCTCTCTCTCTTCGAGGAGAGTTCATTTGCAGTAGATCCTTTGTAGTGATTTTAATCTGTATCTTAATATTCACACTAACTTTACTATACATTACTTTTTCTTCTGCATTTCTTTTGTTTGTAGAAAAAGACTCGAGTTTAAGCTCTTGATGACTCGCACTCGCACGCTGAAACGCACGTGATTGTTCTTTTAATTGCAAATTTTCTGATCAACTTGGAGTCGACTTTTCCCCAGCGAACTAAGCAAGCAACAGACTATTATATTTGTCTTCAATCAATTTTTTAAGTCGAACTAATAAAATTCTAATTTAAAGATTGAGTGTGATAATTTTTCTCGACGTTTTTATTAGGGAAAAGTCTACTCCGAATTCATGAAAATGAGATTTGGGACACTTTATATCCGAATGTTATGTAAAACTGCTTTAAAATGTGTGTGTTCGACAGTTATCGGTAGAAAGTTTCGTTCGTTCTCTTTTGTTGATTATTTGGAGATTTCGGTCGCTTTGAAAATCTGGGTGAATCCAGAAATAACCGGCGATCATAGGAGACGATATATATCTAGGGTGCCGCAGAAATATCTGCCGTGGCCAAAGTTTTAAATTATCGGGCGAAACTTCCAAAAAGCTTTTACCTCTCTCCCTATTTGCCTCCGCGCACGTCAACTTTATGCCGCTTCTCGAGAGCGCACATTTATGCGCTCGCTCTAGCTGGACGAAGTTTCCATTCTTTGCTTTGTCTTCCGCGTAAGACAAAGACTTACGTTTGAGGCCGCTCCCCTTTTCGAGCTATTTCCTTTCTCGGCTGTTTGCCGAGATATCTGTCCAGTCAAACTTCCCGTTAATAGCTTTAAATTTTGCGAATTCGTTTAAAGATAGAATAATTTTCCGCACTACGCTTAAACTCGAAAGATTTTCGGGCGAATTTATCGCACGCTTGTTCGATGTGTAAAAGTATACATTTGAGAATTATGTAACATAATTGCAAATTGTTACGAGAAAACGCGTAACACGCGATGATATATTATTTATTAGCCGGGGGATATAAGAGTCGCGAACGGTCGACAGTTAAGTGATGTGCTGCGTTGTAGGGGTCGACTATAGAACAGTGCCCCGAGCGAACTTGGAGCATCGCTTTCCGCATTCTGCTCAGTTCGTATATTCGATAGTATAAACACACGATTTGTGCATGAAATTTTCGGACAAAAGTCCACAAGGCTATTAACCTATAATTTTTTACTATTGATATTCAATTATTTATGTAGAAAATAAATAAGAATAACGAGGAAAGTAATTTGTTAATGAAATGATGGAATAATTATTTTTTCTTTTAATTATATTTATTATTTTCTACATGTTTTGAAAAAAATCTATCTACTTTGAAATAAAAAATTGCCGCGATGTCGAGGATATAGCACAGTATGAAAAATAAAGCGGTAAAAATAAAAATTGCACGACTGAAAATAGAGATGAGATCTTATTAATAACTGAATGATTTCACTGTAGGATCGGTGCCTCGTTTTCAGGAGCTGGACGTGTACGAAATTGAACTACAAAACGCAATTGTACAAACCAATTTATCTCAAAGATCATTCCGCAACAGCGAGCATATCGCTCGCAATCGCTTTTATCAGACTTGAATCTAGAATCCTCCAAAAGCAAATTCCTCTCTATTTACTTCCAACATTCACTCCATTTACTGCTCGAGTAAGTCAAAATGAGAGAACGCGCCGGTAACGCGTCAGTAAATCAACGAAATGGCTTCTTTTCTTGCTTCATTTTAGTCTCAACGAAAAGAATGCAATTTATAGGAGCGTCTCATCATTCATAAAAATGGATCTCAATTACTTCGGACATACCGGAAACGGCAGTCGAGTTTAGATTATGCTAACGGACAGACAGAGAAGGGGGGAGGGGAGAGACAGAGAGAGAGAAACGCGGAGAAGTGCCATTGAGCGGGCCGAAAGCGAGAATATTAATGCGCTTATAAATAAACCGGAGGAAAAATCTAGCGAAGCGCGCGGTGCAGAGCGCGGCTCCGGCGCGGCGTGGCGCGCCTCTGCACGCCGCCGGCCAAGAAACCACGGTAGGAAGCCGCACGGTTAACTTCGGCTCTCCCGCGTTCCCGATTTTACAAGACTTACACCCGCGGCCACCCTCCTCGTCACCTTTCGCTTCCTTTTCCCTTTATCGATATTCGATAGGCGATTGAACGCGCGGTGCAACGACGCGTCGTAAAACGCGAACGGCCCGAACGGATCCGCGACGTCCGTGGAAGCGATTCTGTGGAAACGACGCGGCTCGTCTGCAGAGATTAAACAACGTGTCGCGGTGATTGAACGGGAAGAAACGAAGATTGAGAGATGTATGTACGGGAGTGACGTGCGAGTGGAAATAGGATCGTTTGATTACGAGATGTGATCGCTGTAACATGACAGCGCTCGGTAAGAGATCTGCGCGGCGGCGATATGTAATACGATGTTTCCCGACGGGCGAAAGGCGTGCAGTGATGAAGAACAGTAATTTTATTGATCAAAGAGAACAAATAGTGATACGCTGAGATATGCGACGCTTGATATGTGCGTTCACTCGCATTCCTTTTATTATCCTCATCCGGGCAACGTGTGGTCATTTCGCGTTTTTTCTCCATTTTCGAATAACGTGCGTGTCTTTTAAACCTTTCTATATTTTTGTGCTATCACAAGTATTATTGTTATTACTGCTAATATACTGTAATAATATATAATATAATACTTGACATTTGACGCAGTTGACACAGCTTTTCTCGATATAAAGTAGCTCGCCCGGAAACTAAATTAAAAAGACGTGGCTTTGGTACAACGTCATAAAAAAATAATTTATTCATGTTTAATTTTCGCATCCTCATAAGAATCTGATCTTATGTTTATGTTTTATGTTTAACATCTACTTGAATCAGATCGTATATCACTAGAGCTCGTTCCGCTGACTTTTTCGCAGTAGTTTCTGTTGCTTTCAAAAAGATAAAAGAGTAATAAACATGTTGAGCTTGAAATATACGTGTTCACTCCGGAACTACATCAGTTCTGATTTTTGACATCGATTTTTCCACCGTCATTTCTATCGTCGAAACGCAGCTCAATATATAATTTACAAGTGCTTAGATGAAATTCAATGCTGATATAAATAATTCGTCATTTTTTAATTGACGAAGCTCTTTATTAATTTTCTCGATGAAAGCTTTGAATTAAAATCAATTATCGCGTAATTAATCGCGATGAAAAAACAAGTTTGACAAATGCAGCTCGTTTTATGCGCGGAAGCGAGGCAGATCCGTAATGGCTTCGTAAATTACGCACGATTTAGCGGGGAATTTGCCAGATTGAATCCACGACGACTATTTATAATTGAAAACACCGCGCGCGGACAGATTCACGTCAACATCAATTCTTTGAAAATGTACGCACGGCACGTTGCAAGCTGTGTTCGAGTATGCAAAATAAATAAGTGCCACGGGAAGGCGCGCGAAACGTTTTTCGTTTTGCGGGAGAGGTTTCTCGCAAGTGCGATATTCGCTTCAATGATCGATGATTGCCTACTAGGAATTGTCAGTGTCGAAGCATCACTGTTGCTGCTGGCATCAGGAGTAATGCATTTTAGACGTTCGCAAATGTTTACTTGATATAATTTGTCAGATATGCACACATTTCACATACTTTGACGCACGCCTAATGGACGGTCGCTCGAATCACGTATTTGATCATGTTTATACAATTGGATGTGAAAAGGCACTTGAAAGTTTTCTCAATTACCGAGGCATGTTTTAGGAAGAAGTGAAACTTGCAGAAGAATTTTGGAGGCGTTAATAAATTTTTATCTCCAAATCCTCGCAAATCAAACTTTTAAGATGCAATTATATAATAAAATTGTGTATTCGATCTCAAACTCTTTTCGATGAACTTAATCTTAACAGAATTTTCATTGCAGGCTGTGAAGTGTTGTGAATTGAAACGTTGCAATAAATAAGTGACCTTAGATGTTCTTGCGATTTTTATTTAAATGAAGAGTCCATCCTTAATGTTTCATCCACGTCAGTCGCGAATCGCTCGGTACATAAAATTTTTACGCGTGTTTATATTCTTTATGGCCTCGACATGCTGAAATAAGTTCAAAGGAACTCTCAAAGTAAACGGTTCGTCTTTGTGCCGCGAAATGACGAGTCATCTAAATAAAAAAATATAGTCCGCGAGACACGCCGCGCAATGGATGACAGCGTCCGCGACTGTGAATACGTGAAAATTCGAGGTGGACGCGAGAGGGGACCGTGAGCCATGCTGAAAAATCCGTTCAAGTCGGCGATGGCTTCGACCGAACTCCCGATGCCACCGAGCCCTGGCGCTAGCAGCCCTTTAGGCTTCGAAACAACACCCCGACCTCGCAAAAAGCTTTCTTTCAAAGAACCGGAGACTTTGAATTACTTCAAAATGCGCAAGCCGTCAACGCGTTCCAAGCTGCTACACGCACAAAATAGCTTTGATTTAAGTTTCGACGAAAATCCCTTCGAAGAGGAAAATGAGAATCTCGATGAGCTCGAGGTAAAATATCGCTCATCTTTTCAAGATTTTATTTATTTCAAAAATATGCTTTTCCCGATGTTGAACAAATAACAAATCCGTTGAATAGAATTGCTTGAAGATGACCGATGTAGGAGGCTCGTTAATATTCGTGTTAGCCTGATAATTTTTATATTGGTTTTATAACAATTCAATGTTAGTTGCGTATGTTTTTCGCGTGCATATATTCGTAAATCTACTCGCGAGATAAAACAAGAATTTTGTTTGATCAGAGTCAAGCGATGAGGGTGGTCAGAACGGTTGGGCAAGCTTTCGAAGTGTGCCATAAATTAAGTATTAACAACACCACCGAGGATCGAGGAGACAAAGATGGGGAGAGCCACGGTGAAAATTACGGTGATGTTTACGAGGACCAAGACGAAATTCCTAACGAGCAATCCCAGCCTTCTCCGCTACCGGTGCATAAAGGTGAATATATATCGCGTTGCTGATTAATTGCTGATTAATTAAAATAATTTTCAAGTTTTGTCCCATCATTTTTGACCTCATTCGTCAATTAATCTCTGAAAAATTGTAGCGCGCAAAAGTGGTTTTAATAAAATCATCCATAAAAAATTTCTTGTTATTTTTTAATCTCTATTCTATTTTGTATTTATAATTCCTATTGTTTTGTTCGCATTTCAGACATATCACTATTGGGGGATACTGAAGATTCGGTTCCCGAACAAACGTCTGTTACCTGTCTACTTCGATCAAACGATGGACCGGCGACGACTTCTACCTCACCAGTTCGACAGTCGCCATCGGTAAGATTCACAACTGAAATAATAAATTTCAAAACATGAAATAAATTTTATTCTATTAAATTATTCCTGTGGTATTTCGAAATGACAATTATTATTTATAAAATGCATATATTGCCTGCATGAAATACATTGTATAATAATAATTCTTTCAATCTTGGAAGCAAATCGCGTATTTCTACTTACTTTCTGAGATCTGTTGAACACGAAGCACCAGTCGAGGTTTTAAAATAGAATAGCACGTTATCGAAAAATGTTTTGTCTTCATAATAGTAGAGTGTTCACTACTTTCCAAGTTCTGCTGGAGTACAATTCGTAAATTCTAAAACACCTCCTTGTGTTCCATTTCGCAAGAGTAATTTATTTTCTTATAGCTTCCAACAACCAATTCCATTCGCGTGCTTTGAAGCAATTTTCACGTGAAGTTCGCTTTTGCAGTTGTCGATCTTTCCGTTTATTGTTATAATAATGTACATAATTTAAAGGTTTATTTTTCTTTTTTTTTATAGGGCACGGTGACCTCCGAGTGCGGAGGTTTATTGGTGGGAAGCGAATTAACAGCCCTGAAGCACGAAATACAGCTTCTACGTGAACGTTTAGAGCAACAGAGTCAACAAACCAGAGCTGCCGTTGCCCATGCGCGACTTCTTCAGGATCAGCTGGCGGCGGAAACGGCAGCGCGCGTCGAAGCTCAGGTATATAAATAAGTGAATCAATTACCAGAACACACAAATATTTCGCCAACTTGTCTATACACGATTTGTCATCGTCTAATTGAGACTAATTTATCGAAGTAATAAATAAAACAGATTATGTAAGCTGTGCTATTCATATAAATTATTTTCACCGTTCTAATTGTTTTTCAATATTCGGATAAAATAAAATAGAGTGTATCCGTGAAAGTGCGAAGAGATATTTAAATAGCTGTCGCTAATCATTACTGATAAGCGAGATTCCGAGAATGGAATTTTATTTCGTGATTAAATATTTTAAGATTTAATGGAATTTTATTTAATTCTACAAATATGATTGTTTCTTTTTATTTTAGGCGAGAACGCACCAACTTCTAGTGCAAAATAAGGAATTGCTAGAACATATAAGTGCGCTAGTGAGCCACCTGAGGGAACAGGAGCGTGTTTCCGGTGGTCACGTCACCTCGCAGTCGCAAATACCGACGCCCGCGTCTCTGCAACAAAACGCGGCTGTTTCCGATTTGCCGAATCTCGGCCAGGTAACGCTCTACCGAATTCCATGACACGAGTGCTCCGATGGAGTTTGGAACCGAAGCACCGACTGACCGAAACTGCGTTGCATCTCAATTAACGTTTAACAGAATGCATCTTTGTACTTCTTTTTTTTTATTTTTAATAATCGTTAACGCCTTTTGTACGGACTTCTCCCTTTTTTAACTTTATAATAAAATGTTTTATACACATCCATTTTCTGTTTTGCACCCATTGCAACACTACACTTGTCGACTGTGTGCGCAATCCTCCGAAAAAAAAAAACGTCCTTTTTTTTACGCCCTCATGACTTAGCGATGCACGCACTATGTTTTAGGCGTTTTCGTTTGGTGCCGATAAGACGTCAACGGCGAAAACAGCCGTGGCCTCGACTATTTGCATTTTTTGCGCGAGCATTTGCGCCTCGTCCCTCATGGCGCAAAACTTACAAGTCCGAAAGATTGCCGATCGAAATCTGTACTAACATCGTGCAAAAAATAACGGGCGGCGAATGTTTTATGCGTTCTGAGTGATTTGACGCAGTTGCGTGTACATTGTCTCTTAATTGCTTACACGTTTGCATCGAGGTATTTTGATATAGCGAGAAATGAATCTTTCATGCTAAGATATTGACTAATCTAATAACAATTAAGCACCAGTGTGACGGTGTTGTCTAACAGGTCTTCGCACGGGATTTCGGAGTGCGCGCTGCCAACAAGTGCTAGGTAATATGCTACTACTCGTTACTAAAAATCTTGTTATCAGAATAAGCGATTCTAGAGAGTCAGAAAAATCGAAAGACACTCGGGTCCAAAGTATCTAACAAAATGTCCGGGAATTGAAAAAAAAAGGTAAGGGCGATCAAAAATACGATTGGAGAACACAGATATACAGTTGTCGCAGAGAGTTCTTGCTTTCTAGCTTTGTGCAAATTGAAAGATTCGAATTATTAAAAAGTTGCAATGTTGCATTTACGTTTCGAAATATCTGAATGTTCAAATTTACAAACGATCGAGATTACGCAAATAACTGTATTTAATAGTGAATAAGGGACGATTTTTGTACCTTAAACCGCGGATTTCAAAGATCTTGTTCTCCAAACTACGTCTTCTCGAGTAGTGCCAACGGACTGGAGGGCAGAGTTCGCCATGGGAACTGGATCCGCCGACCTTTCCGTACTGCTCGTATCCACCGGAATCGCTTTATTCCGGCAGCCTCGGCGCCATGGGGCTTCAGGCTAATAACGCCACCGCCGATCAATTGCAGTTCCAAACGCAGCTCTTGGAGAGGCTGCACAACTTGAGTCCGTTCCAGTCTCAGAGATCGCCCTACAATACGCCGTCGCCGTACGCGATGGGCCCGAGTCTACTTCTACCTCCGTGCAGTGGACCGACAGTGAGTAATCCTCGTTATATATATATCTCGAATATACGCGTAAATTTAGCATGTTAACATGCTAAATTTGTCAATAAGCAAATCAGAATTAGAAATATGATTTATTTTACGAGTCTTGAAATTGATGTTATTTGAAAGATTTAAAATATTTATAAATAATCGAAAAGTAACAAGAAAAATTTGCTAGGGATTTTATTAAAATTCTTTTTGTGCGCTACAATTTTTGGGACTATAAAAAAAGATAAAGGTTTAAAAAAATGTCATTTTCTTAATTTCCGAAACGCGATTTTTCAGAATTCGGCCCAGTTGTCGCCGAGCTCCGCATCTTTACGAGTTTCCCAACCGAACAGCTTCTCCTCGTCACCGATTATGACTCATAAGCTCGACAGTTATGGAACGGATAATTCGGACGCGCAGCAGAATGCTTTCATAAAGCCGCTGCCGTGCACCAACGACAGAAACATCATTCATTCGTCCACCGATATTAAAGCTAAGCAAGAACGCGTTTATCCGCAGGACGATATTCCTCCGATAATCTTAGATCCGCCGCCGCAGGGCAAACGCGTGGACACTACGGTGAAGAAAGCAAGCCCAAAGCAAAGTTCAACGACACTTAGCGCGCAAGACAGCAGGAATAGTACGCATAAAAGTCTGGCGACCATCCTACGAACTTCGGGTCCACCGCCTTCTCGCACAACGAGCGCTCGATTGCCCTCGCGCAACGATCTGCTGAGCGAAGTGCAGCGAACGACTTGGGCTCGTCACACAACCAAGTGACTCTGAATGCTATGCAATAATCTGTGCGATCTCCCTATAAAGCTAATGAGTTTAGAGAATTTGAAGGAAAACTATGTCAAATATATCCTATTAGTTAGACATTGCGAAAAGTTACGCGTGGCTTGAAAACCTCTGAATTTCACGGACAACAGGGTTTGCATTTCCCTCTCGGTTGTTCAAACTCGAATCCCGAGCATTGTATCTAGAAATTCCCAACAATAAAATGTCATTTCGCGATGCTTGAAGCTGAATCGTGCAAAAAACGATCGTTTAAATCGTCGAATAAAAAAAAATTCGTTGCCAACAAGAAAACTTTGAGAATACTTTTACAAAGAATTTTTATAAAAAAAAAAAAACTTTAATACGGCTGTCAATATAGAGTCAATATTATTGCGTGTAGTGAAGTTCATGTGACGTTCATAAAAATCACGATTTCAACAGATTGCAAAAATTCGTTTGTATCTTATAAGTACCATCTATGGAGTGTTTTGTAAAAATTGGAGTATGACGTAGTCGCGTTTTGGAGAAATTAGTGGATGTGCGCGTCTCGAGCGCGTCCGGAAGGGCGAATTGTAATACGTAATTTGTACATTTATTCATGTCGCGACATTTAACTCCCATGTGTAAGAATTTAGCGGGCGAATCTGTGCCAAAAAGTATCAATTATCAAGAGAGTTTATTTTCAGTATATTTTTAAGTAATGTAAATAAAGATACGCGTGATCATAGATAAATGCATACTTATTTCAAACCTTCATCCTTATAAACGTATCGTCATTCACCGTGCATTATCACGCAATATCCTTTTTCAATTGCAACTAAATTAACATGATTTCTTTTTGTAGAATCATACGTTCACACTATACGTACGAACAGTATATTGCGAACTCCTTTATTGGCCTTGTCTTTAGCTTTTCGCTGAATAATATGCACATTTATGGTATGATCTAATATCTCCCGAGAATAAAGGTGCACGTCGAATTTGCGTGCAAACAAAATGTTGACTAATGCAATAGAAGAGAATGCGCGCTAATAGCATATGCATATTAATAGCTTACACAACTTTCATTATCTTGAATGTGCCAGCTAATGTCCATTTCAGTTCCAACGAACAGTGCGTCGAGAAATCGTCACGAGTGTCGGATCAGATAATTTGCAGCGAATAATAAATTGTGATTTTTTTTGTAAATAATTTTATCAGGTGTAAATCACGACGTGTGTTACACATGATAATTAATGATATTTATCAAGCACGCGAGCATTCTTCTACGCGACTAAAAACTATCACGTTTAACGCCAAACCATTCGAGTTCCGCGGTAGATTTGCTTTCCTTTTTACATAGCAAGACTATACTGTGTGATATTAAGAAATATGATTAATATAGCAAATATAATCACCTGTGGCGTATAAAATGCAAGTTGACTCATGGCCAGCTTCGTCGACGGACGAAGTGGAAAATCCTGAAATTCTAAAACTGAACAGAATGCATGGACGAGATAAGCCAACAGCTCTAGGTAAAATTTTATTATCAATAAGATCCTATAGGTATCTTAAAGATATCAGATATCAATAAAAAAAATAAGGTATCTTAAAGTACTCAAATTTTTAAAAAATTCACACGTTTTATTTAAGATTTCTAGAACAGATAGATCATTAAAAGCAATAAAAGATCTGCAAAGTGTCTCACAAAAGTATGTTTTTTACCCTATTGTTCGATTCATTATTTTAATAATAAAAAAGACAAATTGGACTAACTCACCGATCGATGAGCAGCAGCGGAGTTGTTATTCTGTTGTTCTGCATAGTTGATCTGTAAAATACGAAAATAAATAATCAAGATTAGAATCGCGTTAAAATAATTAATATTTATATTTATTTATTAACATTTATGAACTTATATTTGCGTGCATTAAACTTTTAATTCGTTTTTTAAGCAAATATGTAATAACAGATTTATTTGAAAAAAAAAATTAATATGTAAAAAATTGCTAATAATTATGAATATTAACTAATGTAAATATTTTGTTAAAATTTTAAATCTTTGGAAACACATTTTCTACAAATAAATAAATTATTATTCACCGTCAAATTGCTCCGCCGGCGTCTGATGCTCCTCCTGAGTCTCCTCCTCCTCTCAGTAGTCTTCAAAATATTCACACGCGTTCGCGTCACAAATACGAAAATCGCATGGCACTTTAAACGGCACTCCCGACGCGCATTTTATATTATTGCGAGATTACGTCGGAACGATTTACAACAATATTTTAGTCGACACTCCCGACACGCGTATTTTGTCATGTTAGGACAAAATTAAAACTCGAATATCGCTTCTCGCTTCGTTTCACTTCACACTTCTCACACCTATTACTTACTATATTTGAACAATTTCATAAATTAAAGGCTAATTTGCAATCGATCGTCGAAGCTCGCGAAGCATTAACGATAATTACATTGGGCAGTATGGGAATGATTTTCGTGGATCGCGTGTAGCACGTATACGTGATAGTAATCATACTCTTCCCTCGAGGAAAGTGATTACCTGCGAAGCGAAAGGGTGGAGTCGTACAAGCTACAAAGAATGTATAACGACGACTATTAATGTGTTCTTTCGATTCTTGTCACTTTCAAATATCGCAAGTGGTTCCTTCCGTTTGTGAGCAATCACCTAAAATTAAAAAAAAAACCTGCATTGAAATCACGTTGCTTCGCATATGTAGATTTAAATTTGGATTGTCGATGAATCGCGTATGATAAGCGTAATAACTTATGTGTAATAAATATATAAAATAAAATACTCAATGAAAAAGAATATAAGTTTCTCTTTTTGGCTGGAACCATCAATTTCTCTCTTAATTATTTATTATATAAATGCACAAATATTAAAAAAAAAAATAGTCGAGAAAGTTAAAAGAGCTGTTAGTTTAGTAAAATAAAAGGATTATTTTTTTCTAAAATCGTACATCTGAATGTTGATTATTTCATGTTCGAAGTGCATATTTTAAACAAGACATATAGTTTATGAGATTAGAATCGACTTTGATCAAGTAGGGCGTACGCACGATCATCACAGGCGCGTTGATCCGATCGAATCACACAGAATATAGGATGTTTAAAGGTGTGTCATGTGACCTCGGATCTCGGATTAAAGATCGCTTATAGACACGTAAACAAAGAGATTCAAGTTCTATTGAAATCCTGTAAAAAAAAAAGGATTGTTTAGTAAAATTTATTCTCAAACTTGGAAGGTGAATTGTATTTTTGAACAATGCTGTGTGTTTCTTAATAAATAATGCATTATTTATAAATAAATAATAAAAGACAGTGGTTGCACGTGTGATGGCAACGCCTACACAAACTCTAAACATATCTATTTCAAATCTCCGAAAATGTTGATCGAACATCGATATAAAAATATTATATCCTAAATTTTACGTCACGTCACTTCATGTTACCTTTTGCCGAATTCTGCATTTGCATAACTGACGTCATAAATTTAATAAGAAAGGCTCTCGTAATTGACATCATTTCAAACGTAAATGGGTCTCGGCGAGCTCCGCGGGTCGCTGAGCTCTTCATTACTCGCGTGACCGAAGGAGATCTATGATCGTTGTTCGAAGACAGTAATTGGTATCCTTCGTCGTTCGTAGGTGGGTCCGTCATCCCCGTCGCAGCCGCAAACGCCGACCAGTCGACAGTCGGTTACGTTTGCTATCGTCGAGTGTCAGTGCGACGAAGTTTCCGCCGGGAAAGATCGCGGATTATCGCAAGCGAGCGCATAGACGCGAGACCTCGCGACAATATGCAACGCATCGCGATTGCTGGTCAGTTGACATTACATATTATTGCTGCACGAAAAAATTCACCACACTACTTTTTTCTTCTATTAAATGTAAAATCACTTTTTTCCTTGATAAAGCATGGTGAGACGCTGATAGAGACTTTTAAGTTATCAGCAGACTAAAAGTCTGTTTGATAAATTTATTTCTGTTTGCAATATCAATATCGTTTGACCTGATTAGCGATATCCGAACGAATGAATTTAAGTGAAACTTTGCAAAATCCAGCATCGATAGAAAAGCCAACGCTGGACGACGGTGGGAACGACAGCGAGGATGATTATTCGGCGTCCGTTTGCGCGATTATGCAGCGACGGAATTCGACACGTCGACAGAGCCGACGAAAACGGCGTCCATCGTCGCCGTTCGGCACCGACGTCGAGAACATCGCTCGCCGTCGATCCTCGGCTTACACCACGAGCTCGGGCGAGTTAGTATTTGCGATGAAATATCTTTTAATGCTGCGTTGAAGTTTCTTTCTGAATGCTTAAATTCTAGCAGAACAATTTACTTGAAGTCTGTAACGAGCAAATTTTCTTTGCTACGAATCTAACAAATATGACGCTTAAATTGTATTTCTTCATACGCAAGTATCGGATAATAATGAATTTAATAGCACGATAATTTCGATGGAGGAAAGCGGCAATCAGGAGCAGATTTTCGAAAATCTCAAGCTGCACAAGGAGGTATTGAGCGGTGTGAAGCAACAGCCTTGGCCTCTTCGACGTAAGATCAAGCTCGTACAGCAGGCTAAGTCTTACGTTCGACGACACGAAGGCGCTCTGCAAGAGAGACTCGCTCAAAGTCGCAGCACTAAAGATGTTATAGCACGCGTTTCGATTTACATGACTAAGGTATTCTTTTTTTTTTTGTCGCGCGATTAACATAAAACTTGGAAGCAGCGCGCGGCAAAGTTCGTAAATGGATCTCGTCTTTTAGAAGTGGCAGTATTTCCGACGCGAGCTGATTAATCTGCAAACGTGGCTGATACCTTGGCAAGTCCGTATCATGGAGATCGAGTCTCACTTCGGATCCGCCGTTGCGTCCTATTTCATTTTTCTCCGTTGGCTCTTTTGGATCAATTTCGTGATCGCGGCAACTCTTACGGCGTTCGTGGCGATACCCGAGGTGAGATACTACTTCGCAAACTTCTTGCGCACCTTTAACATTTAACAAGGACGCGATTTTTTTCCACTTTCCGACAGGTGTTGACTGCGAATGCGACGCTCGCCGGCGAAAGGAAGATTATGCTGAAGGAAGAAAGCGTCAAGTCGAAGCAGTTGTTGACTCTATGGGAATTCGAGGGAGTGCTGAAGTACTCTCCGTTCTTCTACGGGTGGTACACCAATCAGGACTCGAACCGAAATTACAGACTACCTCTGGCGTACTTCGTCACCAATCTGGTCGTGTACACGTATAGCTTCGTCGCAATCCTGCGCAAGTACCGGCTAGATCTCTTCTTGTCGAATATCGCAGCACAGCTTCTTCTTCAAGCCGCACGATTTAACAATTGAGTTCTCGTAATTAGCGATCGTCGAATTGGCAGAAAAGAAACACTTTTTTTTTTAGAAGAAAGAGCAAAGCTGATGTACTCCAAGCGGAATTGTTTCATTATTCTCGAAATCATTCCGTTGACGTTCTTGTTGGAAAGTAACGAAGCAAGTATATGAGCACATGATGCCTTGTTTCAGAATGGCGGAGAATTCGCGTTTGAGTAAACTGACCGAAAAAGAGGACGAGTACGTCTTTTCGTGGAAGCTTTTCACTGGATGGGATTTCATGATAGGTAATCCGGAAACTGCGCACAATCGCACGGCCAGCATCGTGGTCAGCTTCAAGGAAGCTCTGGTGGAAGAAGCAGAGAAGCAGAAGGACGAAAGAAAGTAATCGATTCTATATAATTCACAGCTCTGTAAAATTGAACAAACGCGGCGTTAAATATATGGCATTAATTATTCAGATCTCGAATTTTATATTACAACAAATAAAACTTTGCGAAATTTGAAAATCTTATTTTTAGTAGTAGAAGAGTGAAAGATCATTTTTCTACGCAACGCTCTTCAGAAAATTTGGCCGCCAGGTACGATTAATATATTGCACGAGCAATTACTTTTACAGCTGGAAAGTCATATCGATGAGGATATTCGTGAACGTGGCGGTGTTATCGTTGCTCGCGTTGTCGGCGTACGCCGTAATCAAGGTGGTCGAACGGAGCACGACGGAGAACGACTCGCATAACTGGTGGCGGCAAAACGAGATCACGATCGTGATATCCCTGATTACGAACGGCTTCCCAATATTCTTCGAGATCCTCGGCTTTCTCGAAAGCTACCATCCCAGAAAGCAGCTCAGAATGCAACTGGCGCGGTAAAGCTACTTAGTAATCGAGCTATTTACTAATTGTGACAGGATGCGCTTTACTCGCAATGGAGTACAAGCGATACACTTGGCCGCTCTTTCGTTTCAGGATAATGGTCTTGAATTTGCTAAATCTCTACTCACTGATATTCGCACTGTTCCATAAAATAAGCTCTATGGTACGTAATTCGTTATTATCCATGGATTAAGGATACGACGTGCAACATTATTCATCGGCTTTATCGGCCGGTTTACATGTTAAATATTTTTCTGCGCAGAAACACGATCTTTACAGTCTTAAACCGACAAACACGAATTGCGTGCGTAAATCAGTGCCATGCGGAGACGACACGGAGGTAACACGTACACAGCAGATCGTGACAATGGCATCTTTGGGTCTCATTTTAATCAGCAATGCTAGCCACTCTCATGCTAAGAGGGAAATCCCGGAACAAAGTATAATCCGTTTGTTAACCGCTGCGTTTACAAACCGATCGAAATACTTTCAGATATATGTGTTATAACATTTCAATTTATAACAAATTTTAAAAAATATATTTCAGTAATTCTAAAGTAAAGTGCGCAAATATTTCATGTTAATAATCTATCTTTTTTTGAACTCCAAGGCGCTTATAATCATCCTTTTAATGAAAAAAATTCAATAAAAAAATTTGAAAATTTAGAAAGTAACAAATGCGCTTTATGAATGGCATTTTATGTGTTCTATAAAGACTTTTTTAAGGAAAATTTTATCAATTCGATTGTTTTAGCACTGTCATCCATCAGACAAGAACCTCCTCTTAATCCCTTTTTGGATATCAACACACTGTACGAAGAATTTAACGACACCTCCGATTATGATGATTATGTGGATTATTATCATTACGAAACTTCAGATATAGATAGCGACGAATCCTATACCACATCTTATAAGAAAGAGAATACTCAAAGTACAGATAAAAAATTCTACGATGCAAGTTCAACTGTGCCCGCGAATTTTTTGACAGATTCAACAATTGCCGAAAATTTCTCGACGAGTTCCACTTCGTCCCAGAGTGAAACCGTAGCATCGACAATCACCGAATCAGGCACAATAAAAGGTAATTACAAATCTTAAACTGACATACAAAAAATAATATATTATGTACATGCAATTGCAGAATCAATGATTACTGATGACTTTACCGAAAACCCTTTGGATCTTTCGTCGCCTGCAGATAGCAAACAACAATCTGTTAAATTTAGTTTCACACCTACGACGGTTGCAACGTATACGTCAGAAAGTGACGTTTCTACTTTACAATCGAATAAACGTGTAACTCAGTCTTCGAAAGAGATTTATGTGATAAAATGTTTCGAAAAAGTTTGCACCACTGCGTCGCCAAGAAATTTAGGTAAATATTTGTCAAATCTATAACTATTTTCCCGAAAAATTAGAGAATCGTTATCATTACTTTTCTGTGTTTAGCGGTAGATAAAATTTTTCCAAGTATTTATTCATATGCGCTTGCAGCTATGTCCACGGGACAATTAGATCTGAAGACTCGCAAAAAATTACGTCGATTATGCTGGGAAACTATGTTCGGGCAAGAGCTCGCCAAGATCACTGTCATGGATTTGGTAAGATACAAAACAAAAAAGACGCTTAAATATATTATGTCGCAATAAGAAAGCATTAAATTCTATATACAACTCTTTAGATACTCACCATATTAAGTACCCTCAGCGTGGATTTCTTCCGTGCCGTTTTCGTGCGTTTCATGAACAACTGCTGGTGTTGGGACTTGGAGAAACAATTCCCGCAATACGGCGATTTTAAAATAGCCGAAAACATCCTGTATTTAGTGCATAATCAAGGGATCATTTGGATGGGAATGTTCTTCAGTCCCGGTTTAACGGCACTGAATCTTCTCAAACTTGTCATCTTAATGTATCTACGCTCCTGGGCGGTTCTGACGTGCAACGTGCCGCATGAAGTAGTTTTCAGAGCCTCCAGGTTATTTATTTATCTATTAATACTATACCACACTTTTGCAGCAATTAAATAATTAAAATATGTTAGTAACTTTTCGACGCAATTTGTGCTTTGTTAGGTATGTTAAATGTCGATACAAACAATTTGCATCTTTGATTCGTCAATAATATTTCATGTCTTCTCATGCCTATTTCTTCTCACGCAACAATTGCTTTCGCCATATTTCAGATCTAACAATTTCTACTACGCACTTTTATTGACCATGCTGTTCTTATGCGTGTTGCCGGTCGGTTACGCTATAGTTTGGGTCGAGCCTTCGTGGCATTGTGGTCCATTTTCTGGTTACACAAGGATTTACCATTTAGCGACGCGAAGCTTAACAAAATCGCTTCCGCAGCTGATTCAACGGTATGTCTGTGTTTTTTTTATAATTGCGTGATTAAATTTCGACTCACTTTGCATGAAAATCACATTTCATTATAAGCAATGCACATATAATCTATTTCGAAATTTAATCTGATCTATTTAGATGTATCGATTACGTCGCATCGCCTGGTATAGTAATACCACTCATTGTTCTGATGACATTAATTATTTATTATATGGCATCTCTCGCTAAATCCTTGCGAGAAGCGAATAACGATCTAAAGGTACAAAGAAATCTATTAATTTCTCTTTGAATTCCACATGTAACTAAATTGTAGTATGTCGATGCTTATTTATATAATATTGGATTATACTTACACGCAGTAATGGGTTTCCTTCAGATGCAATTACGACACGAGCGTATAGAAGAACGTCGAAAACTCTTTAAAATCGCGGAGAAAAGGCAAAATGTAGCCGATACTCCACTATCGAGATGGAAGAAGATTCTTCCAGCCTTGCCGCAGGCCAAATCAGAGTTATCTCGAAATTCCGAAATAACTCAGAGAGATGACGTTCAAATCGGGAATGTGAGTGACGCGGTGGGAAGGGAAGGATCGATACCGAACGATACCGAAGAATCGTCGCGCCATAATCAAATGTCTGATAATAGTAAACGAAATGAGGAAGAAGTTGATCCAAAATTAAATGATACATCTTCCAACAAAAGGTACAACATTAATTATACTACAATAATTTAAAAAATGCCTGAAATAAATATAGATTTCAAATCAATTGCAAATTTAAACATATTAACATTACGTTATCAATTATGTTGTCGAATTGTAAACAAATAATATTCTCAAACAGACCAATAAGCGTTGGATGTTCTTGGGACTCGCAGTCGAGCGAACAGAGCGTTATACCGGAAATTCAAATAAATAATGAAAAAGAAATTGTGTGCAGCGATACTCATGAATCCGCCGAATTAAGCGATGTGCCCGAAGATCGTGTTCAAGAGATAACGTAATGAGCCTAGTGTAATCAATAAAAAATGTGAATAAAATATGTAGGTAATAATTAATATTTTCTAGCACTACCACCTTAATCTAACAAAAATTTAAAAAACAATTGAAAGTTAATCCCAACTGAATGCATCATCTCGTAACTAAGCACGAATGAAAACGTCTTATGGTTGTATCATATTTATTTCTACAAACGTGATGTAAAATACTTATAAATATTTAGAAATAGTTATTACTGCTATGAACAATGTAATATAATTAACTCCAAAATAGGCTCGAGATAGATAGTCGAGGCACGCGTAGTCGAACACCATACACGCAAAATCACACTTTGATTGAGCATTGGCACGTACGTAAATGTCTTCGTCTTATTGTCAAATATTATATTACGTATTATTCGAAATACTTTTAATGAGCTATTTTATTGAGCTATTTCAAAATTAACGATATGTGTGTTAATATAACCCGCAAAGATAAAAATGTATGCTTATCGTTAAAAAATGTATAGTTTGTAATTTCAGTGTGAGTTAATTGTTCCTTTAATCTCAAATAAAACAACGCTTATTAAAAAATGTCGACAATAAGAAACACAAGTAACATGCATAAAAAAATTATTCTACATTATCGTAGCGCGCTTGTTACGAATCAAGACAGATTTCTCCCGAATATTTAGTATTTCTAGAACTTGCGATACGTGACAGATCAACACTTGCGTGTCAAGCGATTACGTTGCTCGTCTAAGAGTATTGACGCTTCACTTATAATCTTGGCAGTGGTCCGTACCAAAAATAATAATTGATATTCGTCTATTACGGTGAGAGCTGTCTTTGTTTTGACAAGAGCGTGAAGTACATTCGCTCTTTCGAGGTCGAGCCATCTTTGCAGCGCCACTTCTCTTTCGCGCGGGCCACCGAGAGGCACGTCGGCCGGTCCCCATAGCGAGAATTCAAGCACAGATTTTACCTATTCGTCAAAATATTATTTACACGGTAAAATAATTTGTGGATAAATTAGAATCGGATTTCTTTTTTTAGAAAAAAAAAAGAGAAAATTTCGCAGCAAAATGGAATTAATCTAAAATAGATTCTCACCTGCGAGAGAGTAACCGCTTTTTCGTGTACAAGTAAATCTTGCACAAGTGGCAGCTCGTCCGTCAGATGCAATTGCTGTAATGCTATTAGAGCGCATTCGCACAGGGAGACTCGTTCCTCGCCGGGTTCGTCGCTCGGGTCTATGTTCAACCTCCTGCAAAACGGAAATTAAAGGTTGCGTGACGAAATTAGATTATTATATCGAATTAAAGCTGTCGTCATGCGAAAAATACTAACCCCTGCAGGAGGTACAGCCGATAATAGACATCTTCTCTGCAGAGTATAACGTCGTTCAGAGACTTGCTCGCGTCCTCGATCCCACGCGCTTGGAGACTTTTCAAAGCGTTAACCAGTTGAAGAAACACGAATGATGTCTCCCTGTTCACACCTTCGTTGTTTATGTCCTTCGACATCGCGCCGAACGATTGTATGGTGGACACATGCAAGCACGGAACAATCGAAATTGTCGCTAAAATGAGAAATACCGTTACACATCGTATGCAATCGAATATTTTTTCACCGCACAGGTCACAGCGTGTGTGCTTACCTTCCATATCTTCGTTCCAAGATAATTGAACTTTCTCCATTATCTCTTTCGGCACTTTATCTATGAATTCCGCTACAGGCGTTAGATAAAAATCTCTTTGTGGCATAGGCATAGCTAAATCGAATGTTATGCAGAGAGTGACGTTCTGATCGTTCCATGTCGCCGGGCAAAATATCCTCCTGCCGATGGAAATCGATGTCGGAATATCGATATTAAAATGTTTCAGCCGCGGATTCGCATTCTTCAGAGCACGTAGACTTGCCGGCAACTGAACGATTTGATTTTCCTGTTGTTAATATTTCATTGTTAATTATTTTTATATTACATTTTTATCAATATTTGAGGTTCAAAAGAAATAAGTTCCTAATATGTGAAAATATAAAATAAAATATGGAAAATATATACGATGATTCACAGATACGGATACATTCTTTCCACGCTAATATGTAAACACGTTATCAACGTCTTTCACTTAGGCATTTTCGAACCAAACGTATAATTTCCAAACATTCAAATATCATAATAATTATTAGCAAAAAAATATAAAATTATATCGAAACAGCACAATAGTCAATTAAAATGTTTGTTAAAAATCCAACTATACAAAAAACGATCGAATCTTGAGCGATAAGTGAAAGGAATTAATAACGCTTATCGTGCTGTTCTGTAAACAAAAATATCAATTTAACATACTTGTTCGAGGAATTGAGCAAGCGCTTCGTGATTCGCAACCACTACGGCGCCGTAATTGTCTTCGAGACTTCGATGAACAATCGTGCGTCCCCTGCGTTGCCTCAAACGACCCATTCTTGGATCGTCGTCCCTATTTTTCCAATCCTGATCCTCCTCGGCACCCTAAATTTACAAATATTTTTGATTATTAAGAAGTGAAACAGCAACGGAAAACAAATGTAACAGGTGATACACACCTCGTCACCGGTGTAAAACGTGTATGGCGCGTAAAGTTCGCTCTCGGTTTCGCTGCCGCAATACGGCAACGAGGTCGATCTCACGAACGGTTGATGAAGCTTCATCTCCGGGTCTCCACCCATTGCACTACTATCTGATTTTCTTTTACAAGGCATGCGATATACGCCACCGCCACCGTGTCGCAGCTCGAGATTCGAATCGCACTCGGGCGAGCTCGAAAGGCACTCGTACACGTGACTGTCGTTGGACGTCTGAGATAAAATAATGTGTATATCATACTGTGTTGTCACAAACATTATATATTTACGCTGAACCGATACCAGATGGCATTTAGTACGTATGTAAATGTTTCCCAAAATATTTTTCGATTTATTAATTTTATATACCAAAGCGCGCAAGATTTTATCTGCGATCTGTTTGCAAAATGACAGATCTTTTCAAACGGACGCGCATTGCATCTCGCAATTGCAATTGCATTGCAATATTTTTACCACGCTTTCGACATGCGTCACTGCAACATTGCTGCAATCTTATTAAAATTCCGTCCATGTCCACGACCATTCTATGTAATGTTTTTGTAACATTACATCGCGACTTGCCAGATTGCAATGTTCTGCGCTGCGTGAATTTTTTTTATCCTCACGACTAGATAACCAGATAATTGAGCGAACAGTTTCTAATACGTACAAATCCTACGTTTGGAATCGGTTCGGATAAAAACGGGTTTGATGGAAGAAGATCTGTTACCGGCGAGTCGGACGTGGGTCGCACGGCGGTGAGACCGTCGTAGTCCTGACTGTCGGACGACGCGCCGTGCCTCTTCGGGACGGGCTGGCAAACGGCCCGGTCTCTCATACTGGCGGTTCTTTGGGGTTTCGAGGGTGCCAGGGCGCTGCGCACCTCACCTGTAACATCCTCCGCTGCTGCAGGCACGTTCGCCATCCGTCAAGCGCCACGGGTTAGTACCACAAGACACAAGGCACAAAAAAACAGGCTGGCTAGCTATCTAGTTCGCCTAGCGTACTAAAGGAACATGTCCGCGTCGCGCACACAAAACGGGATTTCGCATGACGACCGTGCGTAACGAACGTTAGTTCACCCATGATGCGTGTCCCACGCATGTGGAATGGTGCTGTCAGTACGTGGACGGGGTATCCTTTATATTCTAATCATTTCATTTCCCACATAATGATGTATTAGAGCTACAACTAACTTGTCTCATGCGCCTATTATGCTCCTGTATTTTCCAGCACCCGAATAATTGTTGTAATTTGGACAGCCGCAACAATTTTCATTGTTCATATTCGGATAATAATCAGGCGAAATTATTTTCAGCCGACGAATTTTTTAAACGACGCCTCCTGCTACACGACAAGCAAAAACAGGCATGAGGATCGAGGATTCTTGAATTATCGGGGACTTTTACGAATTTTCTCCTTACAAGCATACGTCATCTAAATCTTACGAGTCAACCTAGACCCTAATGGTATGTCAATTACGCAATTATGGATTATGCCAGTACGCAATCGTAGTGCGTGCAATGCATGCGGCGTTAGTTGCACCCAGCAGATCGGTTAGAGGAGTCCTCGCGTAACGTCAACAAATGTTGCCTGTGGTACGCGGCGCACGCACCGTTATGTAACTACCGCAAAAGGGAGGAAAGAAAAAAAAAAACGGAGAGAGACGTGAACGCGGTTCGTGTGCGCGCGGCTACGCTTGAGTAAGTCGCGCTTATGCCAGCGCGGTGGACGCGGCTCCCTGTACGCGTTAATGAGGGAGGGGGGGATTGATGCGGAGGTGCAACGAACAAGCCATAGCATCGGGAGAACACATTCCGCAACACTGTACGGTATATACGTATCCGCGTGACCGAAGTGCGATCACGAATTCAATGAACAGAAACTCTGGTCTTCTCAGACAATATACGTTTATTTCAGACACAGATGTTTATAGTTTACAGAATTTTCACCCTTTGCATTCTTCTGCAAAGAGTAAGGTATAACAAGCAGCGTGTTCACTTAACCAGCCATTCTCAAACTTTCTACTGCAATCTTATCACGGAAGAATGCTCTGTAAAAGTAATCCGTATTAGGAATAAAAAGCTATAGCACTTTAATCGATGTTGCGCTTAACATTACATGGAACAATACCAGTGCCTGACAGGGACAAATCTCGTCCGAAAGAGTAGGAATAAGTTCTTTCACTGAGAGTACACAGTAACATCATAGAAAATATTATCAATATAACACTTATCACAGAATATTGTGACTTTCCAAAAATAATTTCAGCGCCTCCTAAAGTTTTTAAAGCCGAGATTTAACTCGGATTCTACTTTCGTTATTTCATTCTTTAAGCTCTAGTCTTAATTCTACAAATAATAATATATACTTTAGCGTATTTGTCACATTCTTATTGTCGCATGTGAATAATAATCAAAGTTTCAACTTAACTAAAATATAATTCTCAATCTCAATCTCCTTCGTGCGACCCGCCCGATCGATTGCGGCATCCGATTAAATGCGATTAAGAAGAAAAAAAGCAAGTATTATCATCCGGTGTCACGTGGCTCGATCGCTGTACCCCGCGCAAGCAGAGTGACGTCTCTCTCGTTTTAAAAAAGCGGCTGTCGCGAAGGTTCGTGTGAGTATGGCTGTTAACATCGAGTACGGTCGCGACGTGATCAGTTACACTGTATGGGCCTGAACTTACCCAGATTCGCGTAAATCGAGTCCGAGGTTGTCGCGGCCGTCGGCCTCCACGTGGCCTTCGAGGATATCTTGTCGCTTCTCGGAGAAGTAACGTTCAACTTGATCTCCGCGCGAGGCGGCGGCGGTCTGACAGGTTTGTTCGCCGAATCCGGCCTCGGCCAATCCTCGAGGGATTGAGTTCTGGGCGGCGGCGGGGGTTTCCCAGGCCTCGCCGTAACGCCTTATAATTTATTTCATATATTTTATATATATATATATCCGAAATCTCACGAAATTATAAATTGTGTAAAAAATTAATTTGCTCACCTGCGGACGACGGAGGAGATCGCGCCGTTTTTGATTCGCTTCTCGCGCCACTGGAATCCGTCTGATCCTCGCCGATCTTGACGGTGGCGATTCTGTCGTTTCCTAGCACTTCCACCGCGGCGCCGTCCAGCTCCAACGGATGGATTATTTCCAATCGCGGTTTCGGTTGCGGAGTCGACGGTATCTCGTCGGCCTTCGCGCCCGACGTCTGGCCGGTGATCATGTCCATATCCTTCCTCGAGCCCATTCTTAGGAACCTCTTCAGGGAGAAACCTCTTCGATTTCTGCTCCTTTTCTTCTCCTCCCGCACCTCCTTTTCGGCAGTCAAGCTGTCCTGCGACAGGGATATCGTTCTTCTAGAAGCGGACTCGGTCGGTTGGACTTTAACGCTTGCGCTGGTTGGATCCGGCAGTTCGCAGACCGCTTTGCGAAACTTCGGACTGCACGAGGACGATCGCTCTCTCTTCTCCTTCTCGCGGACGACCGGTGAATCGGATTTCATATTCGCTCCCGGATTCCTCGCGAACAGAGAAGAGACCGGCAGAAGTTCCTCCGCGGATTCCGGCGGTCGCGGAGCCATTCTTCTCTTGTTTGGCGAGCGTATAAGCTCCATTGTGGACACGGAAACGGGAGTGATTTCCGGAAACTCCTCATCCGGCGCAATGTTCTCGTCCGCTTCTTCATTTTCCATCGGATAATTCCTCGACAAGCTTGGCGCTGTTGGAGTATTTAAAATGGAAGTAGATAACGGCGAAAGAGCGGATTTTAATGGGGGTTTTGTTCGATTTTCAGATTCCAAGTTTTGAGTTATATTCGAGGAAACTTGATATTCCGATGAAACCTCGCTCGAGGTATTCTTCTTCGCTGCATGTCGAGAGCTTATCTCTTGCAAATCTAGAAAGACGTAATACGCATCGCAATGATACTAAAAGTGTGAGAAAAACTTAAAAAAAAAAAGAAAATTTTTATAAATTTTTTTATTACAGTGAGTCATATGAAATTAATTTATTTCTGTTCGTACAAATCAGTTTTAACAATGCAAAAAAATTAATTGTCTCTTTAAAACAAACAGTATTTTAATCGCTTGATAAAAAAAAGTAATCGTAAGAGAGAGTAAAAAAATTTTAAAAAAAATTTTGTTTTATTTCAAAACTTACAATCTATTTAAAAAATACAAAAAGCAATATGTAAAGATTTAGACTTTGCAGCAATTAAAGGCGGTCCAAGAATTTTTGCTTCAATTAAAAAATGATTTCTCGTTTAAGCACTCCGACGAGTCGTAAAATACTTACTTAAATGCTGCAAGGATCTGCTGGCGACATTTTGAACGGACGGCGGCGGCAGTACGTAATCGCTGTTGGGAATTTTCTTCACAGTGAGCGGACCATCGTTCAGGCTTGCCTTCGTGGAAAAGGTCACGGGCTTCTGCGGTACGGCGGGTTTCGCTTTCAAATCGATATTATTAACGTTACCGTGTAGAAAAGAGGTCCTCGGTTCCGTGGTTATGATCGGCGGCGGGCTCGTAGGCAACGCCGGCGGTTCCGTTAATTCCTCCTCGTCCGCTTTGCCGTCCGGTTCCCCGGCGAGCTCCCGGCTGTTTTCGAAGCAAAATTTTCTTTCCATCGCGTTTTCGCATCCCCCTTCGACCTTGCGCACTTGCGGCGACGACTCTTTGTTGCCACTTTTATCGATGATATTCATCGGACGATCGCTTTCCGGCGTCTCTTCGTTCTTCAGAGACGTCAAGGCGAGCTCGGCTCCCGCTTCTTTCTCCTCATTTTGTTGCGTACATTCGCTTTTCTTCACCGTCGTCCTCTTTACGCACTCGCTCTCTCCCACGCCACTGTTCGGCGCGGATTGCGCAGATATCCTTGACGACGGCTCAACTTCAGTCTTTTTCACCGCTGAAACGCCATTAAGCGGGACGTTTATGGCGTTTCTCTTCTCGACTTTGCAAACGGGCGAGCACTTTTGCGCCGTCGTCGTCTCCGCCGTTTTCTCCGCGTCCGCGTTGGCGGAATTCGCCGAGCTTTCCTTCCGCATAACGGAAATCATATTGGAAGAGGTGATCAATGGCATGTCTACAATTTTCCCCAGTTCCGGAGGCGACTTTTGTTCCTGTTCGTCGAGCTTCTTTCGTTCCGTTCCATTGAATTTCTTAGCAATCTTTAATATCAGACATAAAGATGTCTACTCAAAGATATTCTTTCTATATAATACGATAAGTGTCGATTTGAAATTGCAAAATTAAAGACTCGATCTAATTTGCTAGTTTAAGTATCACGTTTGTGTCACGTTCATTTCGTTATTACAACGAGTTCAATTGTTCCTACATATATATATATATAACTAATTTATATTCAATTTTGTATTTAATTAAATACTGCGATACAAACAGATGTGGAGATAGAGTTTTCATTCTACTCACCTCAGTAGTGTTGTCCGACGATCCTTCATCCGCGGATTTGCATTTGAACGGACTGACTTGCAAATTGATCGCGTTGATCTTTCGATCGATGGGTCGTTTGGCAGCGGGAACAGATTCGTCTCCGCCGAAAGGCGTCACCGAGACCAAGAGAGTCGTCTTCCTACCGTCGGCGTCTCTCTGTATTCTACCCAGCATCAAAGAAGCGAAGGACTTGGCAGGCGTCGTCGTCGAGGGCTTGGTCGCCTCGTTCGCCCCGCTGTTCTCCAGGTCCGTTAAGTTTGCGGTGACCGTATTGAAGTTCGTATTCGCGCGAGTCAGGTCGAATAACGCGCGCTCCTCCTCGCTGTCTGGCACCGAATCTTCCGATTTGGCGGACAGGTCGGCCTGCACACCGTCCCTTTCCTCTTCGCCGTCGGAAAAGTCATCGCCGCCGTAACCGATTACTTCTGCAAGAGACTCCGGGAAGCCGACATTCTTTTTCCGCTGATCTTTCCGACTGATCGCCTTGCCGCGAAGGATACTCTAGAAAAATCGTCTCGTTATAACGAACGCGGCGTGCGTGTTGCGAAACTAGCAACACTTTAATAGACTTAATCGATAGTGATCATGTTCCGTTAATTGGACGTAATTGTACAACTGTAGAAACTGGCTTTCACAAGATATCCAATGCTTCAATACGCTTATATATTAGTCTGTCGCAAGTTTTTAACGTTCGTGGGAATCGCGTCGCGTAAAGTATCCGTAATAAATTCTTTACACCAAGTATCAGTCTCTCGCAAAATCCGTAAAGCAAAAAAAAATGAATAAAAATTACACATGTAAATTTGTAAAGGAAAGTAAATTGTAAAGTAGAATCGATTGTACGAGCTATAATACCTGTACTTGAAGGTGATCAATCTTCAGATTTGTGGAAGCTTTTTCGACGTTCAGTCGCAAGACATCGTCGGTCGCCGCATGCTCCTCTTTCGGTTTGAAGCAGTTCGAACAGAGCTCCTTCTTCCAAGCGTTTTGCACGAAGCGATTGCATTGTGTGGACATTGTTAGTTCACTGCAGCGACAGCGAAAGTCCCGTTACATCATCACTCTGAAAGGAAAGAAGTGAAATAGCAATCGTTTCAATTCCACAGTGCGAGACGATCAACGGTGCATTGTGCACACGCGACTAAGGAACGTGATAGTGCATGAAAAGTTATTCCGTTCCGGATCACCAAATGGTGTCCGAGAACGTTGCACTTCAACTTGCGCATAAAACTGTTTTTGATTTTTCACAAAGCAGAAGTGACAGGCAGGTTTCTCCAGACTCGAGCTCGGAGTACAATACGGCATAATATATTCAGCGTTTTGTTCAGCATAAACATTCCATTTTTTAATTTAGGAGAAAACGATGGTCAAATTCAGAGAAAGCGACGACTTTTGCTTGGAAAAGTAGTAATCTTAGTAAATAGTTTTTCACAAACCGATTTTAGTATCATTCATTTTTTATTCTGTACTTTTATTCCAATAAATATTAAAAATTATTATCGATTATTAGCTGCTATTCATTTATTTTCTACTTTCAATATTTTCCCAAATAAATATAATCTTTTAAAAAATTTCCAAATAGTTAATCTTTCGAAAAAGCTATTATTATAAAATATGAATGTATAATTTACGCTTCTTGAAACTCGCTTTGCGATGAAGCGCGGCTATCAACGAGTAATTATAATACGTTGGACGGCTGTTAAAACGAAAACGAAACGAATGAGTACATTTTCCTGTCCGCAACGTCGGCAATGGCCGCCGCGAATACAATCGGGACAATTGACTGGAGCTGCCGGCCGACTGAGTAATTGCCTCACTTCCGGTCTCCGTTTTATTTGCAATAACGATAGCCTTTGGCCTGTGCATGTCATTAGCAAGTAATACGTAAAAATATTACACTGTTGTACATGTTTCATACAGATGTGTAATTGATGCGTAAAAATAAAGATTAGAAAAATATAGTTTGCTGATTGTTATCGTGCATTGTTTTAAATGTTTAAAGAATTATACTTTAAATTGTTGTTCCTATTCAGACATGAGCAGATTAAGTGATTTTTATTCTATAGCCAAGTGACGATTACTTTTTCAATGTTATAGCTTGAATTACAAACGGAATTGTTGTAAATAATTATAAACAAAATACATTTTTTAATTAAAAATTAATCTTTCTACGAATAAAAAAGCAAATTTAAGAAAGTCAGGTATGCGGAATGCAGTGGTATTCCAAGTTTTCCTCTACACATTCTCGCTCTATCGACAAATATTCGCCGCTTATCGCAGAAACTGCAGAGTTGACAGAGTCTTATCATCGATACCGAGCACAAGGCAAGGATATTGCGTATAACGTTATCGAGGATAAGGAATTACACGATAATGACATGCGGTGACGTCCCATTAGCATGCAGGACCTGCGAATACTCGCAGGCCAGTTGGCAACGAAGTACCGTTGCCAATCTCGTTGATCCGTTACATCTCCTGCGTTCCTGTCCGCACACCTTGAAAATTCACGCAGGTGAAAAGCGTCGCAGTCGTGCCAAAAATCTGGACTCACATTGAGAACGCGCTCCATAACTGGGAGCCGGAATTTTGCTTCGAACAAAACTGGAGAAGAATGTTTTGTCGCAGGCAGGTTCGTGCTATCGTCACAGAAAAACTAAATTACAGCTCGGCAACCACGCCTATTCTTCACAGCAAAGCAGAAATTTCAAGATTTGATCGAAGATTTATTATTTGTTTCGGAATATTATATGTCGCAAAGTTAGATTTATCTTTTAGAACGAAACTCCGGTCTCTGAAATTCGAAAATTCTTTATATCTTTTTCTTCTTTCTTAGTTTTTCGATTGAAAATTCAACAAAAAATATATTTATCTTTGCAGAGTGTAAATTAATAAAATTATTTTAGTATCATAAATTTTATATTTCAAGAATATAAAGGAGAGACTTTATTAAGAGAGAATAAATAGAGATTTATTTTTTTAGATCAAAGCTTCTATAAATTTAATTTAAAATTAACATTTTTAATTAGCAATTAAATTTTCTCGACAAAATATAAGAAATCCCATGTAATTCTTTCTTAGAGTATACGTCAAAAGAAATAAACTTTACGCATATTTTCGATATAGCTATTTGTGTGTTTTTATTAATTAAACATATATACGTGCTGTAGATTTTACACTGATAACTAAAGTGAATTTTGATTTCAATTTCATGTAAACTAATCGCGTTCAACTTGAATCATGCATGAATCTTCTTACAGAAATTCTCATTTGATTAAACCGAAGAGTAGCGTTAGCGCGAAGTGCCCAAATCTCTCATTGCGGTTTTAAGTAACCGCGTGCTTATAGCAATGTCACTTTGTAATCATGATAAATTAACCGTTGCTACATAACTGTATATAGTAATTGTGGTATAGTAGCTGCCACTCACCGGTCATTGCAAATTAACTCTATGCCTACATAACTGTGTAATCTACGGTTGAAAGAGGCAGTCCCTTTATACTAGCGTATAGAACATAACTCGTTTGGGGTGCTGTAGAGTTTCTTTCTTCGAAACGTACGGTCATAGAGGCAGACTTTGTCGAGACGTCTCATTCCTTTGAGATGACGCGTAATGTGGCGTGTCAAGGCATGGCAGACGAGAAACAAGGCGAGGCTCAATGCCAGTCTTACGTTTTGCAGTACTCGTATGCTTTAATTCTAGAGTGCGCCTCGTAAAAACAGAAAGTGTTCGCGGCTTCGCGTTTTTCGTATAAAATACTCAATAGTTATCCTAAAAATTTAATTATTTATTTAATATTTCTATTTTGTAAATCTATGTTTTCAATTGTAGCAACATACAAATTTTGTTTAAAGACTTAACAGAGAAAAATTAATCCCGAAATGCAAAAGTTCCGAAGGTTCAAAAAACATTAAAATAGCAATATGTAATAAAATATAAAATTATTTTAAGCGAAATTAAATTTAAACAGTCCAAGAAAAATAATTTAAAACTTATCTCAAGATTATATGTAAGATAAAAATCGATTTGTAAATTACACACTTGTAAAAGTAATGATAACTACTTGATCGCAAATCAGGAAGGAGTCCTACTTTTTTCAAAGTACCCTCACGGAAACGGCAACGTAATGACAACGCATACATACAGTGCAGCAGACCCTGTGAATCATTCCGTACAAAGAAAAATGCTTAGTGTGTCGTGAAATAAATGTCGACGGTTGTCTCACCGTTGCTTCCCACGGTAACGAATATACTGCAAACATATGTAGGAGATACGAGCAAAATTATCGCTCGCAGTTAGACGCACGTACTTTTCGCATAGGCACGAACCCGGTATACTATAAGCTCTAACACCGAGAGTAATAACAAGAACTTTAATGATCACGGGTAAAAGATTCATACGCGGATTCCGCTATGGAGCCCCGGTTGTTCCTTTTTGTGGTGCTCCGCGCTAATTACTATTAACCCACCGCCTGATTGCGGACATTAAGCTTGCCCCTTTACCACGTCTGGGAATTTCAATGGAATAGAGACCTAGAAGAATTACCTGGAAGAGAGGGGAGGGCGGACCGTTCGCTCGAGATCGCACGATATACACGTCGTTCGAGAGCACTCGAAAGGCGAAAGGCTTAATGGGTCAAGAGCAAGGTAATAAGTAGCCGGTACTAGTCATTCGAGATACATTAACGACTCGGATTACATCATTTCATATCAGACATCGTTGCTCTGGAAAATCATCGTTATTTAATCGTCATCGCAAATTATCGCGCTTTAATTTTTCTAAAATAACTGCAAAAAAAAATTAATCGATATTTTTAGGGGAAAACTCGTGATAAGTCAAACTTTTGTGGTAAATCCAACTGATTTAGTTGCTATAAATAATTAGCTTTTAAAAGCTAATCAACCTATTGCAAATTTGAAAATTAGAGATGGAAGAATTGTAATTGAGCGTGAAATTATTACGATTTAATGCAGCATATAGCACATGTAATATAACAATGCTTCCCACTCTCATAAAATCGCTTTCTATTTTTCTCCAGGTTGATGTGTACATCTGCATTTTTATTGCAGATTTTAAAATACTTCTTTCACAAATTAACAATTTCTATGACGTTCAATTATAATTTTCAAAAATGTCATGAAATTTTAATTTATTTCAGCGCACGCTTTGCAGATCTTGCAAACGCATGTATCGCAGCTACATGCGCATGCACTTAACTGGATACGCCATGAGACGAACTGAGTAATCTCTGTCTAACAGTAAACGGTGCGTTGGAAACCGTTGTCACATGATTAACGACAGTTTTTCACACAATTAGCGTGACGTCCGCATCGTTTGTGCGGATAAAGCTGGCCGTGAATTTATTCTTTAATTTGTGACATGATCTTGAGAAGAGCTTGATCTATGTTCGAAGCGAGTCTCGCAGACACTCGCATTCTGAATAAAATGATATTGCAATTGCGCAATGTTATTATGCAATTTTTTACATATTATTATGAGCGTGTTTCCAAGCTTTCCAATCTCATAAAATTATGAGATTATAACGATGACTAAGGTTTTTATCCGTGTATTCTCATTCTTTCGTATTTCATAGCGCTATTGATGGTTTTATTAAAAGATCAAAATATGTATAAATATTAATACTTCTCTCGTTTCTTCAAGACAATCACGTTAAATTATGATATCGGAAGCGAGAAACCAGTTGTAAATTTTTTATACAGTGTACGTCGAAATAAACTAGTTCTTTCGTGTGCCATAACCGGTAATGCAAATTGATAAAATATCGAAATATATCGAAAACTCCTTTTTCTTGTAAAACTTAATAGATTTTTTTCTCCTACTCTAAAATAAATAAATAAATTTTTTGCATGTCGCCATGTTTGATAATACACTGCAGAGGGATAAAGCTCGAAATAAATCGATATGGAATGCTATACATTTCAAATTCTCTTGTAATAGTACTACAAGTTCTGTGGTTTCATGGACGAATTGGAGTGTATTAACTGTACCATGAAGGACACTTGATAGCGACAATTGGTACGACATCGACGACAATGCACGCCGCT